GAAATGGGCACTGAGGACCGGAAGACCGGTCCAGTTCGCCGAGTCCGGAGACAGGCGGGGCAGGCGAGGCAGAGGGGAGGGGGGCCGATGAGGCAGAAGCGCGGCCTCGGCCGCAAGGTTGAAGGCGAGTGCAGATGCCTCCGCATTGTGGAGGTGGGCCTGGGTGGAAAGGCCAGGGCCGTCGGGCTGCGTGTAGAGGCCGGCGGGCGTAGCGGAGATTTGAGTGTCGCTGGGGACGTTGAGGGTGGGAGGGGCGAGATGGAGCGGGCCATAGATACATCGGAACTAGTAGAGCTGGAGGGAGACATACGGGGAGCCGGGTCGACGGCAGGGGTTTTCTTTGAGGCAGCTTGGCCAGTAGAGGAGACTGTGGATGCCATTGTTAGTAGAGGACGATGAGGAAAGGACTCACGAGAGGGGATGGGAAGTGGGCGCTTATTGGGGATGGTGGTGGTACGAGTCGAAGGTGGCCGGCGACTATCATGGTATGCGACGGCACATAACATATGGCAGATCAGTAGCATAGCGCTCATCCCAATCATGGGGCATCCCGCCATCAAGGACAATACAAATCGAGTCTGAGTTATTACGAGGTCTTCCACGACCAAGTCATGTCCTGAAGGCATCGCGGGTGTAGTTTGAACACTTCGGGAGCGAAACAGGTATGAGAAACAAAAACGATCGCCAAGATTTCCCCAGCTGAGCTTTTCCAGCGGTCAAAATCACAGCTGAGAGAACGAGGAGTATCAGCACACCCCCGGAAGGATCTCCTGAGCCATCCACAGGAGTTATAGACATAGTGAACACCAAGTTGTGACCGGTTGCGCAATGTCCGGAGAATCGGTCAATTACTGTATCTGGAAATGGAAATGCTTACAGCACAGCTGCATGCAATCTGGCGCCCGTGGGGGCTCGAGCGCTACGGTCATCAAAGCCTCATCAGTCCGTGACAATCATGCATCTGTCTCTCAACCGAGTCCATCTGCTGCATTCAATCTAACCGGCGCAGCGTGACCACAGCGACCGCATGGCCGGTCGATCCCCCTTGTGCTGCACACGAATGCTGACTTCGGTCTTTTCATTTAGTTTGCGTTAGGAGTCCCGGACATGGTCGTCCGCATTCAGGGCGGACATCTGCCTCCGTATTCAGTCTTCCCTCCGTGTCGGAGGCGGAGGATGTACAACATCACAGACAACTGGGGCCCGCCGGCCCTTACGATGACACAAGTCTGACCGGTGCGCCCAGCGACCTGCGCGATCTGTCGCAAAAGCCAGCCTGCATTGCCCCAGCCTGCATTTGCACGCGACCATCTTGTCCGTTGCCTCTCGTTGCTTGGGGTGTCCACGAGATCTGTCCCTGGATCGCCTTGAACTATGCGAGTATCACGCGCTATATGCGCTGATCCTTCCCCTTGCGATCTCACCTCCAACGCCGCGCACTCGGGGCTTGGCTCGCCAAGTAGTGATTCGCGGACCTTTGTCTTTGCTTCGATCCCTGTACTTATCTCGCCGTGCTATATAACAGCAGCCGCTGGCGGCGCTCTAGTCTTCCTTGTCGCAGTCCCTCGTCGCGAACTCGACGCCGACGTCTCGGAAGAGGCTTGCAACAAGGATCACTGGTTTGACCCTCCATTCCTTTGTACGCTCCCTGCAGTACCCTCCTGCACACGACTATCGTCATGCGTTTCTACACCTCCGCTCTCGTTGCCCTTGGCCTGGCGTCGGCCGCTCTCGCTCTCCCCGCGTCCAAGCGTGCGGTCCACGCTGTGTCAGCTTCGGACCTCGCGGGCTTTGCGCCGTTCACCCAGTTCGCCCGCGCGACGTACTGCGGCGCTGACAAGCTCCAGAACTGGACTTGCGGCGAGGCTTGCGATGCCAACCCAACCTTCCAGCCTACTTTGGTTGGCGGAGACGGAAACGAGATTCAAAACTGTGAGCAATGTTCTGCGATAGTGCGGTGGCTGCCGCGCGAGTTTCATGTCCAGGGTTGCCCAAACTGACTATTCTTCGGCTGATCAGTCTTCGTTGGATTTTGGCCGGACCAGAACTCCGTCGTCGTCGGTCATGAGGGTACAGATCCTGTTCAATTGTGAGTGTCTTGCAGGTGGAATTCTCGAAGGAACGTCCTGAATGGCTGTCGACAGCGAGTCTGATCTCACGGACATTAACTTCTTCTTGACGAACCTGGACTCCACGCTCTTCCCTGGCGTGTCTTCCGATGTCCAGGCACACAATGGCTTCCTGGCTGAGCACGCGAAGACGGCGTCACAGATCCTCACGGAGGTGCAGAACCTCATCTCCTCCAAGGGCGCAAATCAGGTTATCACGGTGAATAGCCTTTGCACCCGTATCTCATTCGGTATGAAAATGAACTCACCACGTGTTGTACCATTCAGGTCGGGCACTCGCTGGGTGGCGCTCTAGCGCAGCTTGATTCCCTGTTCTTCACCCTCAACCTGGACCCCTCGGTCCATGTCAAGTCCGTGACCTACGGCACTCCGCGTGTCGGGAACCCCGACTATGCCGCTCTTTTCGATTCTAAGGTATGCGACAAACCCTCTCAGACGTGTTGTTAGGTATCAAGCTCACCACGTATGTGCAGGTCCCAGACTTCGTCCGCGTCAACAACGAGGCCGACCTGGTCCCTATTGTACCCGGCCGTTTCCTCGGCTTCCAGCACCCGCACGGTGAGATCCACATCATCTCTCCTGGGAACGCGGTCTCGTGCGACACGGACGACGACGCGTCGGACTCCCAGTGCACGATCAAGACCGTCCCGAACCTGTTTGAGGGCAACATCCTCAACCACCTGGGACCTTACGAGGGCATCTCGCTCGGCACGATTTTCTGCACCTGAGCGCCATACCTGCTTACCACTATACCCATTTCGGCGATTTTTGCACGATCCTTCGACGTCTTCTACGTTTTCTCGGGGTTTTAGGGCTTGTGATCCGCCGGAAGGCACATTATGCCGCCCTCTGGTTGTGTACGAGTGTTTGTACGCCATGCCTGCACCCTGCGCACGGTATGGCATCCTGTATGAGTACATAGTCGCACTGTACCTTCAAATTGCGAGGAGACAATACGCAGCGTGCACCATGACGTACTATCCGAGCCAAGATGCCATTTGTTAGCTTGCACAGGATGGATGTTAAGCAATACAGGCCGGACTCGTCAGAGTGATAGAGTACCACTGGCAGGTTCAACAGCCAGTAGCATCAGGCGTGTCGAAGGAATTCGGGATCCCTACGATTTCCAACTTCCTGTTGGGGGCAGCTATCGCGGGTGAGGGTCTTTGGCAAGGCGGACGTAACACTCTGAAAGGAAGTCTATCATCGTGCAAGCTCCTCCGGACCTTGTCTCGCACCGGCAGCGTTGACGCTTTGCGCGAAGGTACACAACATGGGCGCTTTTGGGGCTTCCCGCACACTCACGTCCGTCCCGTCATCTGGTACATGGTATCCTTGACTGCTGTTTCTGCCACTGTAACCTGCTTCACTTAACTCACTCACTCTGATTGCGAGATCATGCAGCGAGATTCTCCACGGGAGTCGTACAAGGACAGTCGAGGACAGTCGACACACTACCGAGACGATCGCCGAGACCGCTATTCTCGCAGGGACGACGACTACGAACGTGGTGGCTCTCGACGCGACTCTGGACGTGACTATGGAAAGAGCAGAGACGGACTGTCTAGCTATAAGCGATACGACGACGGTAGGGATAGGGACGGGCGCAGGGACCGTGACCGCGACCGGTACCGCAATGAGAATAGAGACGAGGAAGGGGGCTATGGTCGCGGACGCGACCGCGACGACGACAGGAGACACGACACAGACGGCGACCAAAGACGAGACCGCGATGATCACCGCCCAGGACCTTCTCGCCGCTCGGCTTCTCCGCGTGCACGCTCGTCCAAGCCCGAATCGCCAGCGCGTTCCAAGTCGCGCTCCGTACCAGCCGAAGACAAGGCGAAACCAAACTTCGGGAACTCAGGTCTATTGGCCGCAGCGACGAAGACTGTGCAGCATGGAGACGGCACGAAGACGGTGTTGAAGTACCATGAACCGCCAGAGGCGCGGAAACCGGCAGTTGGGTGGAGGTTATACGTGTTCAAGGGGAAGGAGCAAGTCGGTATGTTGTCCAGCTTTATGCAGGTTCCAGCCCCATGTCTCTCAACACCATATGTGTCCGTGTGCACTCGGGGGTAGACCTGTTGCATATACACCGACAGAGTGCGTATCTCATTGGCAGAGACAAGGCTATAGTAGACATACCTATCGACCATCCATCCTGCTCCAAACAACACGCCGTCATCCAATGTATGTATCCTTGTCTATTGTTCTGTATCGCGTTACTGACGGTCTGGTAGATCGACAAGTGCAAGAGAAGAACGAGTTTGGCGAAGTCAAGCCCGCCATCAAGTGAGCGCTCTTGCCATATTCGCCCATGGCTCATGTTTCTGACATTTGTTCTCCTGCGGTGCCTATTTTCAGGCCCTTCATCATCGATCTAGAATCGACCAACGGGACTATTGTCAACGACTCCCCAATCCCGACCTCCCGATACTTCGAACTGGTGCTTGGTGATGGTGAGTATGGTGGTACCTTGTTCCCTGCGGGTGTTATATTCCTAACTCCTGATTTACCTCAGTTATCAAATTTGGCGAATCTGCGCGCGAATATGTCCTACTCAGTGAAGATGCTGCATAGACCACCGCTAATCATTCGTCGTCGTCTTTGTCATCAGCCATCCGAGACCACTGCTCGATCGGGAATGCCTCGTCTGATGGATTGCCTATGACGCCCTTGCCAATTGTACGTCCCTGCCAGCCGTAGTACAAAGCACGCTCTGGCCTTGCATATATAGAAATCCTTTCCGAGACTGGCGGTGGGCTGCCGCCGCAACCGCGTGCAACGTGCTACGAGACATCACGCTTTGTCCAAGGCAGGCTCGTGTGGACCCGAGACCCGATAAGGGATACAATAACCGCATTGCAAGCGAAGACAGGTATTACAAAAGACTACGAATTCTATTGATATGATGAGCCCGAACCGATACAGCCGCTAATGATGACAGAATGAGGTTGTGCGAGAGGTTATAATACACGATGGCGAATGTCCATGTGCCCAAGTGCGTACGAGTACAATGAGTCATCGCGTGATACAAGGCAAGAGTAGTGATGGTCGGAATGCAGGAACCGGAGACAATGCTATTGGAATCTTCGGTCAGTGTTTTGCTCTGACCACGAAACGAAAACCATGAGACTCACAAATGGTCATGACAGGTCATCTATTCTGATATGTGGCATTCGTCGATGTCTAGAAAGCAGCATGCGGCGCTCACTCGTCCCCAGGACGCGACCACTGGACGCTCCCGTTGCACTGGACGTTCGGGTTGTTCCAGTGCCGCTTCAGCGCGTCCATGCGACTGAAGCCCTCGTGGCACCCCCCGACCAAGACCTGCCCCTTGAACACCCACGGGTTGCGCGTCGGGTCGACGCCGTACTCCTGCGCCTCGTGCTTGGGCACCCCGCAGCAGACCCACTGCGCCTGCATCTGCGCGCGGAAGTGCGACATGATGTGGCGCACCATGTCCGGGGCGCGCTTGTTCGTCTGGTGGTGCCCGCAGTAGTCGCAGTGCCATGCCGTCGGGCCCTCCTTGCTGAAGCCCTCGCCGCGGCGCGGGGGCGGCCTGTCGAAGATCTGCTCGTTGCGCGACCCGGGGCGGCTGCGAGCGGACGCGGAGGAGGACGCGGACGTGGAGCGGGTGGAGGAGGGGTAGGGCGAGGCGGAGAGGCGGTTTTTGTGGCGGGCCTGGCCAGAGGCACCGCGGCGGGTCGTGCGACGGCGGCGACTGCTGACGCGGGGGTCGACGTACTCGTCCTCCGAGTCGTCGGCGTCGCTCTCTGCGAGGAAGTCGGAGTCGGAGGCATCGACGTCTTCGGAGAGCCCCTTGTTCGTGGCCTTGGCGCGCGCCGACGACCTGGTAGCCGGCGTGCGCGCGGGTCGGGCGTTGGCACGAGACGCAGAGACGGAGGAAGGCTCATCGTGAATCGTGGGCAAAGGCTGAGAAATGTCGAGCGGGGAGACGACTTGTGGAAGCTGGAGCTGGGAATGTTGCGGGTAGCCATGTTGATCGAGCGAGTAAGATTGGAGGAAAGGGCTGGACTGCAGCGAGAAGTCGACAGTGGGCATCTGGAGGAGAGGTCTGAGGTCTTTCTCCTCGGCCTTGGGCATGAAGGGGGCGTCGTTCATGATCACGTGCTCGTGTTCCGGAGCGAGGCTACGAGGATACGCGGTAAGTGCTCGCACGCAAGACAAAGACGAGAAGCGGATAGGATGACTCACATGTCTGTCTGCAGCTGGTCCGCGTCGTAGACAAACTGGCCGTTGGAAACCCACTTCTTCTGGGGTTCGTCGACGTTGTAGGGGTGGTAAGGGTCGTCATCGGGGTCGACCTCGGAACCGGACGCGTCGTTGTCGGTCTCGCTCGAAGAGTCGTCAGAGTACTTGGAGAAATAGTACATCGACGGTTCAGGCTGGTTGTGAAACTGGGGAGCTTGAGCGGCCAGCCACTGCAAGTCGGAGTCGAGGAGGGAGGGGTTACGGGCGACGCGCGTGGCAGACATTGCGATGACGATGGGGAAGGGTGATGTTGAGTCTGGATGGCAAAGGGTATGGACCGCTAGGCAAATGCAAGAGGGCACAAAGGGACGCGGTGGTAAGTGAGACTAGGTTGTGGTGAGTGGCGGGGCAGGACATGGCGAGAGGCGCATTTATAGGTACAGACATGAAAGAAGACAAAGGTGTTGGACTGGACCCTCGGACGAAGCGAGCGAATTTCCGGAGTATGGGCCATTGCAAAGGCCTTTGCGAGAGGACCAAGGCTATTGTCACGGACGGTGCAAGCAACTCGGGGAACAAGGCGCCTGATCGCGGTCTGCGGATCTCCGCCGAGTATCCTCTCTTGCCTTCTTTTGTCGTGATCAAACGTCCCTAGAATCCATCGTGCAAGCTTAATTGTCGCTTTGTCCTCGTCGCTACGCTTTCTTACTTGCGAACGCTAAACCTTGGGCCACGCGTACGACAAATGCTGTTCCCTGGTTGGCTGGAGGGAGCCTGGGGCTGCACAGAACAGGTTAGCACGCCACTCGATGCCACTCGGCCACTTGCGAGGTGATCAAAGCAACAAAGTGGCCTCGGAATTGCACCACCGGACCGTTCAACAAACGTACAAAGGGTGCAAACCACATAACCACATCAGGTTTGCCACTAATCAATCCGATATGGTGTAACGGCTAACATTACCGCCTTTCACGCGGTAGCTCGGGGTTCGATTCCCCGTATCGGAGCTCCTTTTTATGGCTACATACAGCCTCCGGTCCGAAGCACGAGCTGTGCTCTCTGCCATGCAGCAGGGAGGGCATGAATCACACCTCGAGGCGACGAAGCAGCCACAAAGCGTCGGGCGGCAGCGTAAGCTGTGATTAAGGGCGCGATTATTACAGGTACAGGACGCATGCCGATCTAGAATGCACACACGGTGCTGGCCATATACGGCGAACTTGTCGTCACTACTACTGTCTTCTTGAGCGCAGACGTTTGCCATTCTGCACGGCAGGTCCACGTCTGGAAGGAGGCATGGGTCATAAATCCGTTTCTCTCCGGAACAGCACAGCATGAAGACTAACCCTCGAATCTTCTTCTCAGGCTTCGCCGGATGAGCGAAGTCTGCAGGATCCTCGCCTTGGCGGAACTTCTCCATACTCCACAGGACATACCTAGGAAGCACAGCAACATCGAGTCAGCTCCAGATACAAACAGGAGGGGTGTCATGCAACGACTGCGTGTCACCCAATAAAGCACATATGCGCGTGAAGAACACGTACCTGCGGTCTCGTACAGAGAGTCCTGCCTTTTTCATCTGGTAGCCGTTAGTGTGCCACAGCTGTTCCCATGACTCAACACCAGTCAGCTTCGTCTCCGAGGAACGTCCTATCGCCTTAAGGAAAGCCTCTGGGGTTGTGATGTTGCCTGCTTTCGCCAGACGGAACCCCGGTTAGTGTATCGAGCATGGGCGCTCTGGTCTAGGAGAGCTGGCATACCACGGGGCTTTGGTGGTGGACGGTTGGCCGATCTATTCACGATGGAACGAGTCAGGGGGGTGAATGAGACCTCAAGACGTGCAGCAAGACGGAATGACATGGTCCAGCCTGGCCCCAGGAACAACGAAGCAGAAGCGGGATGTGGGGGACACGAGCAGAGACGCGACAGTGATCAGGCGCCTACGGCCACAAGCAAGCCTTCGCGCGCGGGACGCGCGCTCGTGTCCACCCTCCATGTGCGGAATGCCAGTATGAGGAGCACAACATCGCAAGCACAACGAATGGAATTGCACACTGATGTTGCGTGTCACGCATATAAAAAGCCTACTCATGCACCGCGGGCGGTGTACCGTAACTTGTCCAGCTCCTCCACGTCCTTCTCCGCGTCCCTCATCCACTTTGTGGCCAGCCCGACGACCAACGACAAAATTCCTGCAGCGCTCCACCATAGCACGTCAACAATTCCACGTCCGAGGAAGGTGGCATATGCAGGCGCTATAAGTGGTAAGACAATAGCTGCTGGATGGGAGAGCGGGAGCGGAAGAGAGAAGGAGCGTGGCAAGGAAGCGTTGGGGATCATCTGTCGCATATGATGCTTTCGAGGAAGGCAGTATAGGATGAGGTTTCCGTGTACAATATATTGCAGCAGCAGGAGTGCATTGGTGAATGGTACGGGCTTGGAAGGTGAATCTGGGAAGAGGGGAGCGAGAGGTGATATCTTCGTTGAGCTGAACGTGAAGACGGCATGGCTACGGTATGACCCCATCAGAGTAACTCCATACAGAGGAGACTGGGACTCACATCAGTAGTGAAAGACTGACAACAAACTGTAGGCCGGTGTAATAAACGGCGTTAGAGGTTTCGTTCTGTTTGCGCAAGCGATCCAGCACCTCTTCTTGCTCTGTGGGGGGGGGGTCGGTGGTAGCTTCTATTCTAAAAAGCAATGAACGTACCTTGCTCGTCGAGAACATGCCCGTCCAAGTCGTCATCCTCAGAGAAACGGAACGGCACTCTCTGTCTCACAGCAGGAGTCATAGTGAGACGTTGTGGTAGTTGCAGACGGTGAATCAGACGGCTGGTAATGCAAGTTCGGTCAAAGTCGAAGAGTCGTTTCTCGAACTCAAGAGTGCCACTAGAGGGAAGGCTATGATAATGACATGAGGACTAGACGGCCGTAATGGGTGAGGTTGGTGCAGACCCCAACAGGGTACAGGATGCTATAGATTAGATTAGATCCGAAGAGGGTTATGTATGTCATTGATTAGATTGCTTAGATTCTGCATTGATTTTCCTCCTCGCTTGGATCAACCGACCGTTCACAGAGCACTCACCTCGCATACCTGATCGATCATTTCGCTCCATTGTGCATCTGCGAGATGCCCAATTCAAATACGACAACCGCGGATAATGTAGAGGCTGGTCAATTTGACGATGCACCAGGAGACGAGTCCGCGCCTGCTCCTGTGTCTGACCCTAGACAAGGACACACCTTCATCGACGATGAAAGAGTGCTAGAGTGGTCATCGGGGAGCTCTGACGAAGAAGACAGCGAGCCAGATGAATTCGAGCAAGAGGAAGATGCTCTAGAGGCCGAGGCGTTCCAGACCCTCCGCGCCGAGGACGAGGACTGGGAGGTTGCTGAAGGAGGTATGTGCCCTCTCCTATCTATCCTGCTCAGCCGAACGAACCGCCCATGTAGATTTTACGAAACAGTATAACCGCATACGACAGCACGTCGCTGTCCGTACTGGCGCCGCACAAGGCGTTGCCTCCGCGCTCAACGCTAAGACTGCCGTAGCGACCCTTCCCGCCGTCAATCGACCTCGCCCTTCGAAGCCTGCCCCTCAGACGGCGCAGGAGAAGCAGCGTTCGAAAGATAAGACGGAGAATCAGCTTCAGGCGCTGTCCAAATACTCGTCACGGCTCCGGAACCTCGACATACCCTACGATCTGGGTGTGGGTGTGAACCGCAAAGGCCCGTCCGCTACGGCGAACATGAAGGACAAGAGCGATCGTGCGACGAGCGAACAGGTGCTCGACCCGCGGACACGGATCATCCTGTTCAAGATGATTGGAAGAGGACTCATCTACGAGGTCAATGGGTGTGTCAGCACCGGTAAAGAGGTCGGTAGACGACGATACATCCAGCGCTGCTACCGTGATGTTCATATGATTTACAGGCGAACGTCTACCATGCACTCACGCCCGACTCCAAGCACCTGGCTCTTAAGATATATAAGACATCCATTCTCGTGTTTAAGGACCGTGATCGCTATGTTTCCGGAGAGTTCCGCTTTCGGAGAGGTTACAGGTGAGGACATTATCCAGGAGAGTATGTTACGGCGCTCAACAATCACTTTGCAGCCGTCATAATCCTCGCAAGATGGTTCGCGTCTGGGCGGAGAAGGAGATGCGGAACTTGAAGCGTCTACGAGCTGCAGGAATCCGGTGCCCCGAGCCTGTGGAGGTACGCGAGAATGTCCTTGTCATGACATTCGTGGGGGATAAAGACGGATGGTTCGTTATTCGCATCTCTGTTACATGCTGAATACTGAATTAGATATTGTAGGGCATCACCACGTCTGAAGGATGCAGACATTCCGGAGACCGAATATCCCGACCTATATGTTGAGCTCATGCTCATGACTCGCAAGATCTTCACCGAGTGCAAGCTCGTACATGCCGATCTCTCCGAGTACAACATCCTTTACCACATCGACGACACGGAGTCCCGCCCCACCCCTGCCGAGTCTTCTTCCGACGTCCCTGCAGACTCATCGAACGAGGCCACTTCCTCCACTTCGGAAGATCAGACAGCACCCCATCCCCGCGGCCACCTCTGCATCATCGACGTCTCCCAATCCGTCGAGCACGACCACCCTCACGCATTCGACTTCCTCCGCTCAGACCTCCGCAACATCGAAGACTTCTTCTCCAAGCGCGGCATCCGCACCGTCGGCCTCCGTCGCGCCTTCGATTTCGTCACTCGCGAGCGCCTCCCTTCGCCCGACGGCAACGACTGTTCAAACGAAGCCGTCCTGCGCGCATGGATGGACACCCCAGAGTCCGAGCACACAGGGGTAGACGGTCACGGGGAGGAAGGGGCAGGGGGACGACGGGTGGCGAACGACGACCAGGTCTTCATGCGGTCGTATATCCCCCGGACGCTGAACGAGGTGTACGACCCAGAGCGCGACGTGGGTGTCCTGACCCGCGGGGAGGGCGAGAAGCTCATCTACAAGGACACGATTGGGATTGTGGGCCTGGGTGAGAAGAGTGCGGCCGCTGCTCTAGATTCCTCCCCTCCGGCCAAGCCCCGCCCGGATGGCACGCTGAAGACGAAGAAGGCGGTCACGTTTGCGGACGAAGCTGTCGAGGGAGCCGGGGAAGATTGCGGGGAAGGCGGGGGCGTAGGCGTAGACGAGGATAGCGGGAGCGAAGACGAAGACGAAGACGAGCAGTCTGGGGAAGAGGAAGAGGACGCGGACGGCTTCAGGGAAAAGAAGCCGCGAGGCCACCGGCACGAGGACAAGGAAGTTAAGAAGGTACGTCCATGAATATAGATTGGCCTGAGATTCGGACACTGAACCTGCGCGCGTGCCGCTCTGGTTCGCTATTCTAGCAACGTAAGAAGGCGGCGAAGGAGGAGGCGCGAGAGAAACGCAAGCACAAGATCCCCAAGGCGGAAAAGAAGAGGAGGATTAAGGCGACCGCACGCGGTGGATGAATGAGCGGGCGGTCGTGTTCGCTGTCGCATTTGTGGACGAGGACGGATCTCAGGGGCCCGACAGTGGATAGATGATGATGTATACGCTAATTTGAATGCGTGTAGCACTACTAGTGTGGCGGAAGTTAATTGAGACCCCGTCAGTATGGTAGGGGCATCAGACTTTCATGAGGAAGATGGTTCAGCGATCCCGCGAAGTAGACCCATTGATAACTTATGTATATACATACAAGTTCCGCTCCAGGCATCCTCTTTTACCGACTATCGACATCCGAGTACTGCTGCCCAGCAGGCCGAGAGAACACGAGTGTAAATCTGTAGCCTGCGCGCGCCGCGCACCCGTCCGAACACCGAGCGCCCCAGTCTAATGTGACCTATCGCATGGGGAGATATCGGGGGAACGAAAGATGATTGCCTCTATAGTACATCAGCCGTGTTGGGTCGACGAGGGAGTATACCCTGTCAACGCGCGTGTTAGGACATGTTTCGAGCAACGGCGGCGTCTCGCGCTATGCCGCGTACGCCAAGACGGCGTTCGACTTGGTTTAGGTGGAAAGGAGAGATGGGGGATGGGAAGACGTGGAAAGACGGGTATATACATGTACATATGTTGTTGCTGAGACTTCGTCTGGAACGAGCGAAGAGGTTTGGCTTGTGGGATACAAGGTCGAACACGGGCACGCGGATCGCCTTCTGAAGCTGTAGTGCGATTGCACACGCGGTGGCGGCACCGTGGGTCACGAAGGTGGGATCGACTAGAACGTCGAAGCCCACGCCTCGAGGTCTATCGTCGCCGTCCTGGACCGCTCGATCCATGAGTGTTTCTGACAGAAGACGAGGAAGATAAGGTCAGCTCTGGCGTCACAGGCACAACGAAGGGGCGAAATGAAACGCACGAGCAGGTCCTTCGGTGTCTTCCGCGCATCCGGGTCCTTGAGCAGACAGCTGTCCACGAAGTCCTCCGCCTCCCTCGGGAATCGGCCCTCGGGTGTGAGACGAGGCGCAGGCTCGTTCACGATGTGCTGGAGGAGCTCGAGGATGCTCATAGTCATGCCCCCGCCCTGCAGGCTGACCCCCTTGCTCTTCCGCTTCTTCTTCTTGTCCTTCTGCTCCCTCGTAAGTGAGATAGTGGGGTGCGGTCGGCTGGGCGAAAGCGTGCCCTCGAAGTCGGAGAGATCCGAGTCGTCAGAGGACGACTCCGCGAATGGGAACCGGCCGAGCGCGAGCTCGATGAGCGAGATGCCGAGGGACCACACGTCGGACTTCACAGTGTACTGCGCGCCCTGTATACGCTCCGGCTGTGCGAAGAGGCGCATCCGCGATCTCAGCATCTGTGGTTCCGCGCTGCGCTGGTAACGAGGTACTCACGCTCATGTATGTAGAGGTGCCGACGAAAGTGTCCGCAATTGAGTTAATGAGCTCTCCAGAGACACCAAAGTCGCAGATCTTGACTTGTCCCTTCGAATTGAAGAGGATATTTGAGGGCTTGATGTCTGCGCAGCGTGTTATGAGTTATTATCACCCGTAGCACTGAGTTTGGACATACCACGGTGGATAATCCGGTGTACATCATACAGATAAGTGAGGCCCTCGAGTACAGCGAGCGCTACCTTGCCCACAACATCGATATCAATGGGGCCGATCTTCTTGTAGATGCCGTCCAAGGAGCCCTTGTCCATGTACTCCATACATATGCAGATATTGGGGTCGGAGATAAATGCGCCGTAGAAGGAAATGATGTAGTCGCAATGGCAATCGTGCATGATTTGCAGCTCTCGGAGGATTTGTTTCCTCACCGAGGGCTTCGCGTCGATCAAGACAATCTGAACGACAGCGTTCAGGTCGCCCGTCGCGTCTCACATATGGCCGACGAGACGAACCTTCTTTGCCATGATAGTTCCGGTGGGCAAATGTTCGACCTTCTTCACACTGCCCCCGTTACCCTGCCCCAGCTCCCTGAGGTCCTTGAGGTCCTCATTCCGCAGGTCGTGATACTTGTGCTCCGAGTTGAGCTCTAGATTGGCGAGCGTCGTGGATAGAGTGGTGTGGTAGGTCATGCGGTGCGCAGACGCAGAGCCCGTAGGTGGCGCCGAGTTTGAGCCATTTACGGTCAAGAGGTTGTTGTCGGGATCGACGCTCGCCGCATTGGACGTGGGGACCTTGGGTGCGGCGAGCTTCATGGGCGGCGGCCGCTTCTTCGCCCCACCCGCAGGCTGCGGTGCGACGCGTGTGGGCTCCGGCTGGGGTTCCGGGGGCGGCTGGGAGACGTCGAGCTGGAGGGCCTTGAAGTTGCGCTTCTTGCGCACAGGACCAGCAGCAGGGGTTGCCATGATGGGTGTTCTTCTGACAAGCGCAACTGTGGAGGACTCGTGTGGTGACGAGGGGAAGACGGAGAGCAGGCGGAGGTAGGGGATGCGGGGGAGACGGGGGAGGGCGAGAGGGAGAAGAGCGCGCCCGGCGATGCGACTTGTTCAAGCACCGAGATCGGAGAGTCGGTCCAAACTGATCCAAGTACATGGCGTACGTAAGCAGCGGCCTTGTCCGACAAGACCCCCGCAGGCGCCCGCGCGGGGTCGCGTAGCGCGTCGCGCTCTCTGCCGTCCCCGCGTCTGTCGTCCTGCTCGCTGTCTGCCACGATGAAGGCCTGCGCGACGTGCTCAGTTGCCATCGCTGCTCTGCGCCGCCGCCCACTGCTCGCGCTGGGCGTGGGCGTGGGCGCACTTTCTGCTCTCCGTCCGTCTCTGGTTCCCAGCGCGGCTATGCGTTTCCTGCAGGTCACGCCTTCTCTTCATATGGGACTCAATGGCATCCACTCGCACTATCGATCGCAATCCACGCTCTCAGGGTTGTTCTCGCTCTCTCCAGCTACCTCCATAATGGCATCACTGAACCCGCCACAGCCAGCCCCCAAGTGGACCCACACCCCAGAGGAGGTCCTCCGCCTCACCAAGGACGCCATCGCGGAGGAGCGCGCTCGTCTCGACAAAATCGGTAACCTCAAGCCCGAGGAGTGTACCTTCGAATCTGTACGTCTGCCTCGCGATCTGGCCTTCCGCCTCCAGTAGTGGTCCCGTTGTGCCCCATCATCGTCGACGCTGTACTAAATCTGCTTTGGTGCTGGATTGTTGCTAGGTGTTCGTGAGTAGCTGAGTCCGCTCGATGACGTCTTGTCGTTACGGGGTCGGTAACCACTCTTGATACAGTTGGCTCTCGCTGAGGGCGAAAACAAGGCCGATTCCATCGTCGAACCCTTGACGTTCTACCAGAACGTCTCTCCATCCAAGGAACTCCGCGATGCGTCCAACGAGGCCGAGGTCCTTGCCCGTGATTTCGGCGTCGAGGCGTCGATGCGCCTTGACGTATTCCGTGCCAAGCAAGCCGCAGAGGAGAACATCAAGAAGTCTGGGAATGAACTCACTGCGGAGGAGCAGCGGTTGGTAGACAAGATGCTCCTGGACGGAAAGCGCGCCGGTCTTGCTTTGCCCGACGAGGAGCGGGAAGAGTTGACTAACCTGAAGAAGGAGCTGTCACAGACTTGCTTGCAGTTTAGCGTGAGCGTTCATTGCTATGTTCAGGGACGTTAATACGAGATACTAAACATGGCTCAAGAAAAACTTCAACGAGGAGAACGTACGTCTTCTCTCTCCTGGGAGCTCAAGCATTTCAAATAATGCTCAGTTGAAGCTCAACGTGATCCGCGTACTCATACATTATCTCAGGGCGTCGTCACCTTCACCTTGGACGAGCTAAAGGGCGTCCCTGAGGATGTCATCTCAGGCTATACGAAGCGTACTGAGGATGGCAAGGACGTGTACGACATCACCTTCAAGACTCCCGACATCCTCCCTGTCGTACGTATTCCACCGCTCTAGGCATTCAACCCTATCACTGACCGTCACTTTTCAGTTCAAATACGCAGAGAACCCGGAGACGCGCCGTACGGCCTATGAGAAGTACGAAAACCGACTGGCTATCAACAAGCCCATTATGGCCAAATTTCTCGATCTTCGTCGTCAGATCGCGAAGCTGTTGGGCTACCCTACCTGGGCTGACTACATCACGGAAGTGAAGATGGTCAAGAACGCGAAGGGCGTGAAGGAGGTGCATCTACTCCCCGATGCGCTTACCTGTGATACTCACTCCATCATTATGTACAGTTCCTTACAGATCTTGAGCAAAAGCTTCGACCTGTTGGCATCAAGAACCGCGACATTCTACTCGCGCTCAAGAAAGAGGAGCACGACCAGAAGGGCCTGCCTTTCGACCATGAATTCTACCTCTGGGACTACCGGTACTACGACCGCAAGTTCGTCGAACAGAGCTTGAACCTCGATGACTCGCTCGTCAAGGAGTATTTCCCCGTCTCCAAGGTCGTGCCCGCTATCCTCGATATCTACCAAAACCTTCTCGGCGTCAAGTTCGTCGAAATCAAAGGCGAGACCTGGCATCCTGGTAGGTCGATTTGCCGTATGCTACCTATAGACCGCTGAGTCTCACTCTCGCCAAAGATGTCCAGGTGTTCGCCGTCTGGGAGAAGGACGCTAAAGACGAGTCCGGCTTCGTTGGGTACTGCTACCTCGACCTCTTCCCTCGTGGTACGTCCCCACTTGGTCGTCTTCCCGATGACCTTTCCCATACCCACTCAATGCGCGCGTACGAACAGAATCGAAGTATTCCCACGCCGCGGTCTGGCCGCTGCTCCCCGGGTACGAGAAGCCAGACGGGACGCGCTCGTACCCGCTCACGGCGATGGTCGCGAACCTCGCGAAGCCGACGCCGGCCAAGCCCGCGCTGATGCGGCACGACGACGTCGTCACGTTCTTCCACGAGATGGGCCACGTCTTCCACGGGCTGCTCTCGCGCACGAAGTTCTCGCGCTTCCACGGGACAAACGTCGCGGGCGACTTCGTCGAGGCGCCGTCGCAGATGCTCGAGAACTGGTGCTTCGAGCCGAAGGTGCTCGAGCTGATGAGCAGCCACTACGAGAGCGGGCGGCCGCTGGACCCGGAGTTGATCGACAAGATCATCAAGAGGTGAGCTGCAGCTCCCCTCCCTCCCGTTTGTCGTGGGGTGGGACGGACGGCGTGCGCTGGTGCTCATGGATGTTTGCAGCCGATACGTCAACGTTGGCCTGTTCTACCTCCGCCAGCTCTTCTTCGCCAACTTCGACCTGAAGGTGCATACCGATCAAGGTGAGGCCCGTCTGTCGCATGCGCGCGGGCGCACACTAAACATTGAACCTCAAACACTAACCGGCGCGCTCCAGACGCGGCGGACTACACCGAGCTCTGGAACAGCATGCGCGAGGAGATCTCGCTCGTCAAGGGCAAGAACGTCGGCGCGGGCGAGGGCACGTTCAACCACATCGCGGGCGGGTACGACGCCGGCTACTACGGCTACACGTACTCGCTCGTCTTCGCCGCGGACATGTACGCGACCGTGTTCAAGCCGAACCCGCTTGACCCGAAGCGCGGGAAGCTCTACCGGGACAAGATTCTGCGCCCGGGAGGGAGCCGTGACGAGATCGAGTCGCTCAAGGTGCGTTGCGGCGCGTTGATTTGTTATTTGCGAGCGAAGCTGACGTGGTTGGATCGGTAAAGGACTTCCTTGGACGCGAGCCGAACTCGGAGGCGTTCATCCAGGAGCTCTTCGGGAGTCAAGATGCCAGCTCGTGAGGCACCATCTACGATGCAGTCGCAAGGACGAGAGGCTCGTCCGCTCTAGCGATTTGCGGTGGATCGAGATCGAGATGTTCAGGTGAGACCGAAGTTTAGATCAGGGACAGTAGCACGGATCCGCCCTCACGGCGGAGTAGCCCACACTCATGTACATACATAAACCACATACACGCACTGTAAGATAAATCACGACCACACTGCTCTGTCTACTCCTTCCGCTACTGATCGTGTGAAGGAGTGCTAGCGTCTTGTATGGTCAAGAAGGAAGCAGCGAATAGCATCAACTCGTGTGCCGGACGTCTATACGGAAGTCCGCATGAGAAACTGGAGAGTCCGGTGACTTTCTGGCGTTCCGCACATAAATCGCGTTGTCCACCGTGTCCATCCGAGGCCGATGTCCAAGGGTCGGAAGTCTTTCAGTCCGCCGGGCGGCCCCGCGGCGAGGCGATCGAGGCAAGCCGTTGGGAGAGACCGGAATCAGCTGATCAGGCTGGGCGGAAGTAAATGGGTCTCCTATCGATGCCATCTGCACCCCACCACTGCTTGACGCGTTCACCTAGCTTGTTTACCGTGCTTCTTGTTTTACTTGGCATCGCGCCGCCGTTATTGCAGTAAACATGGCCACTTATTCGCGCGAGGACGTCGCCCAGCTGCGGGGACTGGGGATTCCGGAGCGGACTGCGATGCAGGCACTCGAGGTGACTGACATGCTTCCAGCGCCCCGTGCTCCGAGGGCGGATCGCGAGACAATGAACTAACGTGACTCTTATGCGCTGTCTGATCCTGGTTTGGACCTGGATGGGACGCGGGGCAGACTACGGGCGGACGGCTGGATGTGGCTGCTGATCTTGTGGGTGTCTAATATCTGTTGCGTCTGTACATAAGCTTTGGCATTGGCATTCGCCGCCTTGGACGCGCAGACCAACTCCAAGCGTGTCCCGCGTTCTTGGCAACACTGCTTTACGTGACATTAAGCCTTCTTCTTGGCCTCCCCGGGCCCATTACCTGTCCTTGCTGCAGACACCTTCGAGCTGACCATCTACCTCTCCCTTCGACCTTGCATAGGCTCTGTCTGGCAAGGCCGAGGTGAGCCCAACTCCATCATCGCGCTTTACACGCACATCCTTCCCACCGCGACTTCTCCGCGGTCCTTCTTCTCTTTTCTCGTACACTTTTCGCGCCACTTCTCTTCTGCGACGCCTCTCCCATGAGCGAGCCCCGCAAAGAGCGCAGACGCACCTGGATGGGTCGCTACTCCGTGTCCTCCAGGGACGGCGTCCTCCCGAGCCCCATAGAGGGCAAGGAGCAGAACTACGACCGCACCCCGAGCTCGCCCAACCCGAGCGGCTCTGGGGGCGGCAGCGGCAGCAGCAGCGGCGGTGTGGGTGGGATCCTGCCGTTCAAGAGGTCGAATTCGGGCCAGTCCCTCGCCTCGCTCGTGTCCCCACGGCCCTCCACGCCGCTCACAGCCAAGAAGCGCTCTGGCTCGTCGACGTCGCTGTCCCAGGACGGTCACAACGGCGACCCAAATCAGCAGTATGCCGCAAACCCGCTCGAGCGCACCTTCTCATCCGTTTCCACACAGTCCGCCTCCACCATGGCCTACCACCCCGCGCCCTCGCTCAAGGCCCCCGACGCGCGCGGCTCCGGCTCCGGCTCCGGCTCCTTCTTGGGCACCATGCTCTCCTCGCTTTCGCTCACGAGGAGCAACCAGGGAACGACCGAGGAGGAGCGCGGGCGGTCCACGAGGAAGGACAAGGACAAGGACAAGGACAAGTCCCGTGCGTCCTCCTACTCTGGGCAGCAGGTAGACCGCGACAGCTCCGGCTCGCGTGCGCGCAGCCAGTCCCCCTTCCGCCTCCGCCGCCTCCGGCGCGACCCCTCCCCCGCCGTCGAGGCCCTCACCCAGTCCGACGCCGAGTCCGACGCGGAGACGGCGCGCATCCGGCCGCGCAACGCGTTCTCGTTCTCGTCCGTGTCCGACGACGAGTCGGGCGACGAGACGGAGGACGACAACTCGTCGGACGAGTCGTGGGACGAGGACGAGGCCGGCTTCGACGACATCACCGAGCAGAACACCGAGGCGAACGCGCTCGTGCCTCCGACGAACGCCGTCGACCAGGACATCCCAGACTACCTTGGCGAGGGCGTGAACGTGATCATGCCCCCAGAGCCATACTTCCCGTCGACCCTGAATGGGGCTCAAGGACGGAATCCGCGGCGACGGAAGTCGATGAAGCCGCAAGACACGCTCCCGTTGAACACGTCCCGTCCCCAGTTCCAGAGAGACCGCTGCATCATCTCCGTGACGCACGGCAGCCCGGAGGCCGTGCACAAGGAGACGGGCAAGCCAGGCAAGCGGTACGTCCTCGCGAGCGATCTGAGTGAGGAGTCGCGGTATGCGTTGGAGTGGGGGATTGGCACGGTGTTGCGGGATGGCGACGAGCTGTGAGTGTGATTACGTCCTTCTCTTGTACTCGAGCCGCTTGCGGCAGGGACTCACAGATCCCTCCTAGCATCATTGTGACTGTGGTGGAGAACGAGAGCAAAGGTGCGTGTGCCGCTGACTGTGAGGGTGCGCGCGCGCGATTTACGCCGAGCTTACCTTCGCCTTCTGCCTTTGGTCTAGTCGACCCCGCGATCCCCAATCCTGCAGACCGTGCGACAAAGCTTCGTGCCCAACAGGAGGTAGAGTTGCCCGTCCCTCGCTTCTACGAGAAGGGTCGCACCGAACTGACCACATCGCGTCGCTCAGCGTCAAGCTCTGGCGTACATCCTCGTCCGCCAGGCGACGAGTCTCCTGCAGCGCACGCGGCTGAACGTCACCATCCACTGTCAAGCGTGGCACGCGAAGAACTCGCGACATATGCTGCTCGGTGCGTGCATCAATTCGCTCCTGCTCCACGAACAGCCTCTTCAACGCGCATACGCACTCCATAGACATTGTGGACCACTATGAGCCAGTCATGCTCATCGTCGGCTCGCGCGGTCTGGGCAACCTCAAAGGGTACGTCTCACCCTCGCCCACCCTCTCCCCACCCGCCTTTGCCCGTCTCGCTAACCATTATCCCTCCTCTCCCCAGCATCCTCCTCGGCTCCACCTCGCACTACCTCATCCAGAAGTGCTCCGTGCCCGTGATGGTCGCGCGCCGGCGGCTCAAGCGCCCCCCGCGGCGCGCCGCGCACCTCAAGGCGCACCGCGCGCGCGTCTCGCTCGCGCAGGCCGCCGTCGACCGCGTCGCGTCCAAGGTCGACCAGGACGTGGCGAAGATGCGGAGCGAGATCGCGCGCGACGACGAGCGCCGGAGCGACCGCGACACCGGAGGCCACACGGACGTCGAGGACGACGTCGACACCGAGGTCGAGGGCGACGGGCCGACCGAGGTCGAGGGCGATGGGCCGCCCGCGGTCGAGGGTGAGAACTCACTCGGAGAGAAGATTGGCCCTGCTTGAGTGACGTGCGGATGCGAGGCGAGGCGAGGCGCAATGGGTTGCCGCGGACAATGCTGGACGTTCCGAAGAAGAACCCCAGGCGGATCAGGAGACACGGGGGTCTCCCAAGGGGATGAGATCGAGATTTCTGAAGACTGAACGAGCTGTTTGCTCGTTACCTACGCTACTCTGTAAACTCTATTGCGAGTATGGGCCCTTGAACTCCTTCGTCCCTACTCATTTGCGCTCAGTTTCTCGGGGTCCAGGTAGTAACCAGTATATTCGGAGCAGTGAGCCCACGTATTACACATTATAGATCATTCAGTAAGCTCCCGTAGGATCACACTTGTCCGACGGCGTGGGGTGTGCAGAGTCCGCCCATCGAATCTCATGCATTTAGTGGCGCAAACCAAGCAAATCACTCAAGTCCTCCACTTCACTCGCGGGTTTGCTACTGTATCCATTGCCTTCCGTATCCTCGACGCACGTATCCGCAGCGTCGGCCTGCACTTCTGGGTCTGGGAGAGACGCGGCGATTGACTCCTGCCGCTTGTATGCGCGCGCCCGCCGCGCACGGATGGTCTCCTGCGGTTGGTCGAAGCGCTCGAGCTTGTACTGGATCGACCCTATGGAGAGGAAGTAGCCAATGGGATAAGCACCAGACGGTCTTGGACGGTGGAAGACACAGGAACAGGAGACGTACAAGGGTTATCGGAGTATATGGCGTGGGGGCCCCTGGCAGGCTTGCCATGAACGATGTTCGTGAGCGAGAGCTGCAGCTCGACGACGGGCGGCTCCGCGCCCGGGTTCGGGTTCTCCATGGGCTCGACCCATACGCGGAGGAGCTTGCCGCCCTTCTCGAACGTGGTCTTCACCGACTGCGAAATCGAAAATGGCATCAATGTCCGTACCCCTCTGCACGAGCGTGCATGGAAGGTGACCCACCTGGTTGGGGAAGCACTGCGTGATGTGCTTGTAGAGCATCTCCATGATCCACACACACCGCTGGAACACCCTCGCTCCCGCACCCTCCTTTCCGAACAGACAGAGGTCCATCTCCTTCAGGCTCACGTACTGGAAGCCGAAGATGCGCGCGGTGTTGTGGTACGCGACCATCACGCCGTCCATGTTGCCGATGCGCGCCTGGAACGAATACTCGAGGAACGCGGCGCGGATCATGTCGTAGTACTCCTCCTCGAACGTGCCACGGCGGCCGGTTATCGAAGTAAGGGAGACGTCGAGGTAGTTGAGGTAATTGCGGACGTCGTGCCGGATGGGCGAGATCGCGCGCGTTTTGAGGTCGAATACGCCCGTGCCGGGGAGCGAGTCGTCGACGCAATCGAGCTGAGAGCGCATGAGGAACTTGCCGTGCTGAGGGTAGATGGGGTCTAAGTGAGAAGTCTCAAAGATGAAGAGGGGGTGAGGAATCTTACCTTCGCGTAACGGTGGACGTCCTTCAGGTGTGGATAGTTCTCGGCGGTATGCGATTTCAAGAATTTGTTGAAGGTCTTCTTGGGTAGTGTGAGGAACTTCTCCAGTAACGTACCCTACTTGCGTTTTTGAGATGCCACAGAACAATTACACAACAGTGAGACTGACCAGAGGCAAAAGGATGATCTCCGACTTATCATCATCGCGCTCGTCATCAATATCTGTTGTGAAGACACCGTCTTGATAACGAAGGAAGACCGATACAGGTATTCGTTGCCCGGGCGTGTAGAATCGGGCCTGAAGGGAAGAGTCAGGATAGTCATAGAATTCATGTAAATGATGTCCGGCTTACAGCGGATGCAAATTCCGCGCTCAGGTTATCGAGGCTTACAAGCTTCTCGTCGGACAGGAGCAGGTATATTTGCGTAAGGATCCCAGTGAGAGAGGATGTTGACCCAATATACTTGCACTTGGACTTTCGAGCATACGCGATCAACGATTCATCCTGTGAGCTGGGCACAAAGCCTGGTAGTCTGTCGAACGCGAATTCGTGGGGTTGCGGAATTTTCTCCAAGATTTGATCAAAGTTGTATTTCTCGGTTTCTGGATCCCGGAGCCAATGGACACCCTGTCTAAAAACGACGAAGTGAGACGTCGCTGAGCTAAAGCATTGGGTGACCTGACATACCTTGACAAGACTTTCTCAAGACCATGCGCCAGTTTTGGCACATGATTTCTCCGCCATTTGTTGACATCTACGGATCAAGGACTTAGTGCATAGACGACAGAGACAACATGCTGGAACGCACCCTTGAGTGGCTTGAATGTCTGATCAAGGCAAACACCGGTCTGCAGTATTACCCCATCCGATGGCTCCAAAGAGTGACGTGTGCCTTTAACGGACACAGGCTTCATAGATTTGCCTAGGGCTGCGTCTGTACTAAGACTCGACGAGGAAACCTGATACCCACCTTCCATGGGTTTATAAGGTTTCCGCTTGATTCTCTTAATTCTCCGATCGAGAGGGACATCCTCAGAAGCGGCAGCGTCTACAACCACTTTCTGGGAAAAGTCAATATCTACCCGTCGTACAACTAGTCACAACGCACCTTCGCGGTATCGTGCAAGTCTTTTGCACTCTTCAGTACATTAATCCACGGACTGGGATCCAAAGGAGGTGCCGGTGAGAGATCCGATGGAGACACGTCAGAGTAAGCTGCGATCCGAGGGCGAGATGAGCTGGGGACAGAGCGTGCCCTCGGGGTGAGCGAGATCCATCGAGGTAATGAGCGGGCGTGCATGACGGAGAACGAGCGAGCGGTGAGCTGCTACAGTAAACTGGGAGACCCAGGAGAAGGTCAGTCAAGCTGAGAGGGTCTCGACCAGAGACAAGATGCCTCACAAAAGAGGCGGAGGCAAATGGTACCGCGGTGCAAGTTCGACACGATGGCTGTAGCGCGCGCATGACCCGAGGCAGGATATCCCCGGCACGTGCGCGTCAGCAATGAGCGCCTGGCACGCGCCGCGCAGCGTCGCGACGGCGCGCAGGGCCGGCACACAGGCCTCCTTCATTTCGCTTTCATCTCACTCCTCTCACTCCTACCCACCTTCGACTCACACTCGCTGGATACCTTGTTCCATCTCTACACTTTCTGTCCGAATGGCTTCCTTTTTCTCTTCCCTGCTGCAATGGTTCAGCGGGTATGCATTCCGCTGTCCTCTCCCTCCCTGAGGCTGCTGCGCTAACGCCGCAATAGGCTCTTCTTTTCCAAGGCGGCTGAGATTGCTGTCGTGGGTTTGCAGGTGAGTGCATATTAATAGAACGTGATGGCTACGAGTCTATAGTGTGATCCATCGTGCAGGCATCTGGGAAGACTTCCTTCGTGAACGTCTTGGGATCGGGCCAGGTGCGCTACCTTGTTCGCCGCCCACACCATAATCAACCCCCATCTCACATCCATATTCATATTTTTTTAAGTGGAGCGAAGATGTTGTTCCGACCGTTGCATTTAATCTCAGGAAGGTCAGGAAAGGGAACGTCACGCTGAAGATATGGGATGTAGCCGGTACGCGCCTTCTCCACGAGTTGCCGCATCCTTCGTAGGTGCAGAGACCCTTGCTAGGTCAACCGAGGTACCGGTCAATATGGGAACGGTATTGCAGTGGTGTAGATGCCGTCGTGTACGTTTTTGACTGCCTTCAAGCCGCCCCACTCGCTCACCGAAGTCACCCCGCAGATTCGTAGTCGACTCCGTGGATGTAAGAGTTCTGAATATCCCTCCCCTACCCCCGACCACGCTCATGCGCTCTGTTCACAACATGTAGAAGGAGAAATTCGAGACAGCCCGTTTCGAGCTCCACCAACTCCTTGCGCAGCCCAGCCTCTCCGGCGTCCCGCTTCTAGTGGTAAGTCCGCCCAAGTTGTCTCCCCGCAGCACATCGCCCAAACAGAACAAATTGCTTCACTCCTTCACAGATTGGGAACAAGAACGACCTGGAGGGCCATGCGTCTGTCCAAGAGCTTATCAAGGCGCTGTATGTGCCCGTTACCCTTGATTGAGCTTTCTCTGGCAGAGTACTGACTGTAGTCCGTCTGCGCGCAGTCAACTAGATAAGATTACTACGCGTCCTGTCTCGGTAAGCACATGAGCGTGGCCAGTATTGCTTCTCCATGCTCATAGTATCTCCTTCAGTGTTATTCAGTAGGTGCATTCAGCGAAATGCTGCGCGTGATTACTCACCGTCTGTAGTGTTCGATGAAGAGTCAACATAACCTGTATGTAGCGGTCCTACGCGCCCTAAAGTTCGTCCACTCACGGATCATCACCCTCTTCCAGGGATATCGTCTTGCAATGGTTAGCTGGACGGAGTCACTGATCTCATCCTATCTCGTTCCACATACATTACATACATGCTATTGTGTACTCGGAGGACTCTCTTTTGGATCGCTCTCTGTACTTCTCACCCCTGTTGACCTGTTGCTCACCACTATTCCTTACGACTCCCTTTATTCCCTTCGCATACAAGGGCTTCGTATGCGTGTACCGTCAAACGCGTAATCGCATATGTATGCACGCAAGAGATCCTGAAGCAATACACAAGTCTCACTTCAACCCGTCAATCCCTAGTCCGTCTCCATCCTATCCCCGCTCCCACTCCCACTTCCCTCGCCCTCGCCCTCCCTCCGCGCCTGGTCCTGCAGCGCCCGCAAGAACGGCTCAACCCCCGTCCCCGCCTCGGCCGGCAGCCCCAGCGTCCGCACCAAGTCGCCGAGCAAGCCCGTCCGTAGCGCCGTGTCGAGGTTCCTCACCGCCGCGCGGAACTGCGGCGACTGCACGACGCGCTCGAGCGTCTCCACCGTCGGGGGCGTGGGCAGGTCCGGCGGGAGGTGCAGGAAGAGCGCCTGCACGAGGTCGGGGCGCGAGGCGAACAAGGGCCGGAGGTTCGCAGGCGTGAGGACGTCCGTGAGGGAGATGTCGAGCTGCGGCGGCTGCAGCGACTGGGCGAGGGAGGAGCCTGCGCCGTTGTTGGTGCCGAGGGAGGAGAGGATGGAGTGGATGCGGGCGAGCTCTTCGGGCGTGGCTTGGGCGGTGCCCGAGGGTTGTGACCTGTGTAAGGAATGACGGGACGGGTTGGGAGGGGAGTCTGGGAGAGGTGGGGGTGGTGGTGCTTACGCGGCAGCTGCAGAGGTGGACGCGGCGGGGGCGGAGGTCGAGCCCGAGGCCTGGTTGTGGGGGTTGTAGCCCTCGGAGTACCAGATGGGGACGATAGTCGGGTCCGCGAGTAGGCGGTTCACGTTTCCGACGAATTCTTCGTCGCGGCGGCTGTCAGCATCCTAGCGTCCGGTGTCTAAGTTAACAAGTTTGTTCGCTGTGGGATCTGCGGGGCTCGCTCACCTGCATCCAGAACTGCACAAGATGTCTCAGCATGTGAATGAGTATCAGAGGAGTACAAGACTTACGAAGTGCCGCTGGTTCGACGAAGAGAACTTGAGGACGTACGTGCGGCCCCAAGCGGACTGCTCGACCTTCTGGAACGTCGCGTCCCCAGGGAACAGGATGAGGTCCTTCATAGTGCAATGCACGTCCAAGCAGTCCGTTAGGCTGTAGCCATGAGGGTAACTGAAAGCGCACCTCCTCAGCGTCGTCCGTCGACCGGTTCTTCCAAATCAAGTGCAGCAGGCCGTCCTCGCCGTTCTGGAGGAGGATCGCGCCCTTGGTCGGGTCCGGGTCGACAAAGTTAGTGCTCCCTCGCCGAAATGCGCGGCCTGCCTTGAATGCAATTCGCGTCTCTGCCATGCTTTGTGGCCGATGTAACGGGCGTGGTGTGGATAGGCAGGAAAAGCACAATAGGTGGAGGATTACGAGGAGACACGGGCAGGACGCGTCACCTCCACGATCGGGCGCTCATTTGGTGTGGACGCGACGCGCTTTTTGGCGCTCAGGTCCAGTTCGTATGCGTAAGTATCACGATTTACACATTGACTATAGTAATATAGGGGGCCCCGCCGCTTGTTATAATAGCTTCTATACATGCTACATAGACACTTGCCAAAAGTATATATAAATGCACAGGGGGCAGTACTAGTTGCGAGAAAGCGTGCGCTTCCAAACAAGAGACTTAGGGACCTACTCTAGTATCGCCTAGATATCCACAAGTCCATCCCCTGACACTCGAGAGCCTGTCAAGGACGCGTACCGTGTGTACAGCCTCAGCCACTGAAAGAACCCATGTTCTCGGCATAAATTGCAGTGCATTGCCAAAGGACATCTGCGCCGCGTACCAACAAGCTGGTCTCAGGTAAATTCGAAGTTCGTGCGCGCAGACCGGCGGCTGCGCGCGCGCAACCAATCTAGGCGACCGTCACCTTCTGCTCCTACCTACCCGGATGGATGTCCTACCGACCGAGCTCATCGACGCTGTCCTGGAACTTATCTATTACGAGAGGGGCGTGCCGGATAACATCACTCTCCGTGCATGTGCACTGTTATCCCGTTCGTGGCGCGAGCCCGCACAGCGACTGCTCTTCCGACATGTCACCATACGCGGCATGCATAGCGGACGGGAACACAAGTCGTTCCTTGGGGCCACAGATCCGGCAACGGAGCATGGGCGAACGCTAGCGGAACATGTACGCATACTAGAGCTATTTGTCGGGGACAAAGCCGGCCTCGACCTGGACGACGAAGACCTCGCGGACATCCTCAGCCATACACCTAGGCTGTACGAGCTTGTCTTACGGGCGACAGGGATACACCAGCTCGGAATGGGGACGATGGATAAGCTTCGAGCCCTCGCCAGCCCCCGGATGACCTCTGTTGACCATGACCCTCCCCGCCCGCCTTTACGCATCCGAGCACTCAGCCTGCTCTCCTGCGGAATCCAGAGCCCGATCCTCTACCAGCTCCTCTCCATCTGGCCCGGCATCGAGTTCCTTTTCATAGGCGTCGAGATCGCCGCGCCCCCGCCCAAGTGGCCCGCAACCTTCGAGCTGTACCAGCTTACGCTCATGCGCACGCCGCGCCTCTACATCCTCTCCTGGCTCCTCTCCGCGAGCAAGCACAGCTTGCGGATCGTTTCCTTCCGTGACGCCCCCGGGCGCGAGCTCGACCCGCTCCTCGACGAGGTCGGCCCGCGGCTGCGGTCGCTCCGGCTGATGAACTACAGCTTGCGCGCGACCAAGGTCCTCGAGCGGTGCCCGAACCTCGAAGAGTTTGTGCTGGTGCAGCTCTCGACGCTTTTTGGGTTGGAGAACTTGCCAAAGACGCTGGAGCATCTGAGCTGCAGGAACTTGCCGTCGGAGCCGCAGAGCCTGAGTTCGGTGATTCGCGCGGTGGGCTCGTTGCCGCAGTTAAAGGTGGTGACGTGCGATCGGATGGCGAGGTCGGATGAGCGGTTCGAGGAGCTGGAAAGGTTGTGTGGGGAGAAGGGGGTGGAGTTGTTCGTGGATGAGACGCCGTTTTGGGTGGTGAGTGTGCTAGGGGACTCGTGATTGAACAGGCTTGCTGAAGACTTCAACAGAGGGACGACCCTGTGCGGGTCAATCGCTTCCCCAAGAGGAAGTCGGTGGCCAACTTCGCCCACATGAACTGAATAGGAGCTGGGAGACGGCATTGTTTGTAGAATGTGTTGCGTGCAGGGACCAGAGCGAGTGAACAAGGAATGCCGGGTTGGGCGGGAGATCTTCACGACGATATATGGAGCATAGCAGTGTACAACAGATTGTGTGCAATGATACACTCAACGACGTTTCGCCATTTGCATAGTCAGGTTGTCAATGTACATCTGCAAAGTCTCGTTGCCTGATGCGAGCTTGTCAACGTCCGCCTGAACGCTCTTCGCCTTGGAAATCATGGCTATCAAAGCGTTCAGTTGAAGGTTGCGAGAGATCGCGTGGGCATATACCAACCGCGCAGGTCTTCCTGAGCAGCAACAATCTCCCTGAAAACAGATGAGTCCTCAACATACGCGAATGATGAAATGGGACGTACTTGATCAACTTCTCCTTCTTTATCGCGGTAGTAACGATATCTTCAGAAGAAGGAGCAGGCACACCCCATGCAGGGGTCGTATCCTCAAAACCAGCGAAGGACATAGCAGGTCGTCAAGGTCGTCGTACCAGGCGAAGGCCACAAGCTCCCATTTGGCGCCCAGCATACCACCTGGCATCACATGACTCGCGGAACGCGTCGCGTCCGCGTTCTGGGCACGCGTTTTGACTGTACTCCGTCATCTGCCACACCCCGCAGCACCGGCGGGAACCTGGCTTGATACACTCCTCTCCCTCTGAAACAGCATGGCGCATCTCAACAAATTAGCGATAAGAGGCATCCGGTCTTTTGACGACAAGAACATCGCTGTCATTGAGTTCTTCTCCCCCGTCACGGTTATCGTCGGCCACAATGGTAGCGGGAAGACGACGATCATCGAGTGCCTCAAGTACGCCACTACGGGCGACCAGCCGCCCAACACGCGGGGAGGCGCGTTCATACACGACCCGAAGATGGCGAACGAGAAGGAGGTGAAGGCGCAGGTGAAGCTCCGGTTCTACGCCGCGAACGGCGCGCGGATGCTCGCCGTGCGGAACCTGTCCGTGACGATGAAGAAGAACGGGGCGCTGACGATGAAGACGCTCGAGAGCATACTTGGGCTGGCGGAGAATGTGGAAAAAGGGAGTGGCAAGGTGCGTCTGTCCAGGTCGATACGCATTAGGCCCAGTGTGATACTCAAAGGGGCTGCAGCGAGGGGTCATCTCTACAAAATGCGCGGAGATGGATACGGAAATACCGCATTTACTCGGTGTCTCGAAAGCAGTCTTGGAGAATGTCATATTTTGCCACCAGGAGGATTCCTACTGGCCTCTGTCGGAGCCTGCGGCCCTCAAGAAGAAGTTCGACGACATCTTCGAGGCCACCAAGTCAGTCCGTTCCCTACAAGCTCAATCTCCCTCTGTTGATCCTAGTATCGTTCAGGTATACAAAGGCCCTCGACAACATCAAAGCCCTCCGTAAGGACCGCGTAGCTGAGCTCAAAGCCGAGACTGAGCGGCTGGAGTCCCTGGCGCGTGAAAAGGGCCACGCGGACAAACTCAAGGACCGTATCACGGAGATGAACGACAAGATTGCTGCTCGTACTGCGGAATATGAGGAACTCAAGGCCGCTTACGACCAGCAAGTACGCTCCAACCAGATCCTGAATGACACCGGGAGCAAGTTCCGCGAAATCTATGTCAAAGTCGACCAGCTGAACCAACGGAAGGACCAGTACAAAGAGGAATTGAACCTCGCCAAGGAGAACCTCCAGGAGATTGAAGGTGAGCACCGCTGTCAGTGCCTTATGGATTGTATCGAGCGGAGCCCCTGCAGGAACCGATGATGAGCTTGCTGAGCGTGTGCGGACGCACGACGACTACATCTTGAATCAGAAGCAAAAGCGCAAGACCCAGGAGGGGCGTCTCGAGGATGCGGAGGATGCGATTAGGGCCGCACGCGCCAGCCACGTCGAGCTAATGAGCAAGCAGGGAGAGCTGCTCGCGGAAGAGAGGGTAAGTTAGGATATGCGTGAATTAACATATGGCTGCATGCTAAAGTGAACGGCGACGGCTTCAGCTTGTTGACCAACGCATGCTAGAGAGAGATGAGCTCATCCATGACCTCGCCGCACGCTTCCACATTAAGGGGTTCGAGCAGTCGTCCATCAAGCGCGAAGAGGCGCAGCAGTTTATCGCTGCTCTCAACGATGTCAAACGCCGGCAACATGCTGAGACGGATAGATTGCAGGTGGAAAGTCGGACACGGAACGAGGAGTACAACTTCAAGTCACGGCAACTGCACACAGACCTGGAGGGTCACAAACAGGAACGACGGAGTTTGCGCGAGCGGGTGGTAAGTTTGATACCTACCGCGAAGCGGTACGTGGCATTAAAGTGTCGTTACACAGTCGACCCTACAAGGGAGGATCACTGGCGCCGAACGCGAAGTCGATGCTGCACGGGCCCTTACGTCTCGGCTGGCGGAGCTCAAAGCCGATATCGAGGAGAAGCGCAATAGGCTGGCAAGAGCACGGGAAGAGTTTGCGTCGGCCGGCTTCGAGGACAAAATTCGGGAGGCGGTGTCGCAAAGTGCCAAGCTCAACGAAAGAAGAGACGACTTAAACGACGAGCTGCGCACATTGAGCCTACAGGCGGACAGTAGAGCGAAGCTTGAGCTCCAGCGCACCCAGCTGAAGGCTAAGACTGGGGAGATCAAGACAACGTGCGTGACTGGACTGAAGAGGTATTGGGTAGTAGAAGTAGGGCTGACGAATATTGTTCAGCATCGACTTGTGTAACGCCAAGTTCCGCAAGTTGGTTGGTGTGGATGCACGGCCCGAGAATATGGAGCAAGAGCTGGACCGCGCAGCTCTGTGAGGGTGACATTCGCCGCTTTCGTTTCCAGTTCACTCAAATCTTCTACTAGTGAAAAGGAGCGAGAACAGAGCGAGCTGGAGGTGCAGTCGAGCAACGCGAGCAAGAACCTTCAGGCAGCCCAGGCTAGTTTGTCGAATTTGAGGGCACAAGTCAGGGCTAAGCAAGACGAGATCAAAAGTGAGCTTACCACGCGTTTGTGTCAATCCGACTGACTGATCAGTACGACATAGACCTCGACAAACGGATACAGGCTGGTCTTAAGGAGGGTGAATACGACGGTAGTGTAGAAGACGCGATCGACGGTGCTACCAAGGAGATCGGCATCCGGAATGAGTGCGTTCTCAACTTGTACCAATATACTCAGTCGCTGATGTGACGAGACTACAGGGATCTCGGGAAGTCCGCTGGATCTCACGACGTTTACGAGCGGTTCCTCAAGACTGGAAGGTCAAAGAAGTGCTGTCCCCTTTGCGTGCGAGGTCTGGATGACCGGGAGATGGCAACTTTTGAAAAGAACGTGCGTCTTTCTCTCGAACCACTATCAGCATCGCTTCCCCCTCTTGCAGATCATGGAGGCGTTGAAGAAGTCGACGCCACAAGCCATCAAGGAGCTGCAGAAGGAGCTCCAAGACTGGGAGTCCGAGCTAAAGCGACTACAAGATCTGGCTGTCCTCTCAGCGTCCAAGAATAACGTTCAGACGGCCGAGCTTCCTTCGCTCGAGAAGCAGATCAAGGTCAAGGAAGCGGAGATCCCCGCATTGACAACAGAGGCGGAAGAGGCGAGCAATGCTGATCTACTTGCGGACCCGGTGTATTGACTATATAAACGCCGGTCCCATCAGGCTGCAGCGAAGCTAGCGGAGGTCTCTCGGGATCTTAAGGAGATTGCGGTCATGCGCCAGCATGCGGTTTCTGTGTCAAAGGCGCAGAAGGACATTCAGCGGCTGAAGCAGGATATTGCGGCCCTCGAGAGCGACCTCGTTGCCACCGGATCGACGAAGACCGCAGATGACGTACAGCGCGAGCTCGACCAAGTCAAAGACGAGCTGTATGACTGTTCTCCTCCGTTCTCTCTAACCAGTACTAAAATTATCCCTAGGAAGGCGAGCGATCGCAGGAAGGACAATCTCATCCAGGACCGCGAGGGCAAGAATGCGGTCCTCCGACAGCTCGAAGCCGACTTGCACAAGAAGGAGCTCGAGGAGAGCGAGTGCCGTAATCAGCTCCGTGACAAGGACGAATTGGAGCGGCGGATCGAAGAAATGAAGGCGGAGATCGCCACGGCTCAAATCCGGCTGAAGGTTTGGCTGCTCGAGCACGATGCGGAGATCGCTTCACTGACGTTCCTGTGTGGCATCGCCAGGACCTCGATACCAAGATTGCGGAGGCGCAGGAGCCAATCGAGAAGCTCGAGAGGGAGCACAAGGAGTTGGAACGGGAACTCAACGCCAAGATCTTGCAGGCACAGAAGGCCTCTCAAGAGCTCAACATGGGCGCCGACAAGCTAGAGAGTCAGAACAAGTGGTTGTATAGGTGTGTATCTTGTGATGCCATGATGAACAACGACACGTTGACAATGCATCATAGGAATAGCAAGGAGAAGATTGGTCAACGTGTCAGGGAACTCAATGAGCTCATCGACGAGAAGGAGTTGGAAGTGCGGGAGCAAGCTCTGACGCTTGAGCAGATCCGCGCGAAACTCGGCGATATCGACAAGGAGATTAGCGAGGCAGCTGTAACGTTGGCCAATCTGCGCGAGAATATCCGATTCCGGAGATTGAAGCGCGACTTGGCCGCCACGGAGGCGGAGCTAGATGCCATTGATATGGAGGAAGCGGCGAAGGCGAAGCGCATATGGACCGAGAAGTGGAACGTGGAGAAGCAGAAGGAGACTGAGCTGCAGACGAAGGTGCGATCCATGTGCCGCCTCGTTTGCTCCATCATAATCACCAATCTGGCTTCATCGAGCAGTACGCACACATCGGTGGAGAGGTCAGTTCTCTGAAGGCGCAGCTGAAGACGTTAGAGGGCGACATGGCGGACTTCAAGAACGTCAACAAGAAGTATAGAGACCAGCTCATCAAGGTCAAGGTAGGCTGATCATCAAAGGTTATCCTTCTACGCGTAGAAGCGTGAAACGATATCAGATGTCCGACATGGTAAACAACGACCTCGAGAAATACGCCAAAGCCCTCGACAAGTGAGTATGCACACACACATTACATGACGCCGCTCATGCCGTTACAGCGCTATCATGAAGTACCATTCGCTCAAGATGGAGGAACTGAACGATACCATGCGGCACCTATGGAATAAGACATATCAGGGGACAGGTGGACATCCTTGAACACGGGCTAAGCTCTCCGCCTAACGAGTATTTTTTGCGGTCTGCAGATATCGACGGCATCAAGATATGTTCCGATAGTGAAGGTGGCGCAACGAAACGCTCTTACAACTACCGAGTACGTATCAACAAACGCCTCCATATTGCCGCGATAATTGATCTTTATTCCCATGGACAGGTGGTCATGACGAAGGACCAGGTTGAGATGGATATGCGTGGGCGCTGCTCAGCTGGCCAGAAGATGCTGGCCTCTATTATCATCCGCCTCGCGCTCGCGGACTCATTCGGGCAAAACTGCGGTATCTTGGCGTTAGACGAGCCAACAAACGCTCTTGATACGGAAAATATTGACGCTCTCGCGGCCAGCCTTGTCGAGTGAGTGACCCCGCCTTTCTGGCATCCTCTCACGGAGCTTGCTGAACCCATGCGGGGCACAGTATAATCAACGAGCGCAGAGATCACGCGAACTTCCAGCTTGTTATCATCACCCATGACGAGAACTTCTTACGGAAGCTCGGCCAGAGCAATGTGATGGAATACTATTGGTAAGCTGCCACCGAGGACTCGCCGTCGTTGACTTCTCTGACCGCTGACAACCATGCGCAGGCGCGTTTCGAGGGATTCTCGACAAAAATCGATCATCGAGCGACATAGATTCGGTTAGTTCCCGGATTGTCGTCGGTGTGGAGCCTATTGCTGGATTCAGTTACTGTCATGTCTGCCATGTTTCTCCCGACTAGGTGTTACTTCGCAGTTAGATCGCCTGCTTGGTGCAATCATCTCACGATGTCGAGAGAAGGCTCCAGATACTTCGGATCGAACGCCGACGTGGGATAACCCCTAGACAATTCGGAGACTCTCAACGTCGACATCCGTGCTTCTCTGTGAGATACTACGGATTGGACGACTTCACAAGCATCCGAGCCACACCCGAGGAGAACGCAGTCAACGCGATTTTGTGGTGAGGTTTGACATCGGAGCACGCCGACGCCTCAGCTCTTGCATCCACCTAAATGATGGTCTCGCTCCGCCAAGGCTTGCGGCTGTACGTCGGCCTTTGATGAGCTAAACCCCGAGCGAAGGACTGCACCATAGATGCGGCGATTGTGCTGCGAACAATGGCGACATTCAATGCCAGTGAGTGCAAGAGGCAAGATCATAATCCAAGTGCTGTTACAGCCCTCGCTAGAGCATTCATATCTAGCAAGCGAGTTTGTCCGGCGTTTGATTGGGCGGAGACAATATGTCGCCGATGCATTCGCATATGCCTTCGGGGATGTGTTCCATCCTCCGGGTATGAAGCTGCCGGTGTTTCCCTACAAGGGATTTGCAGATCTACGCTGACATGCGGGAACGTCGATTCGTGACCGGTCGGAGTGTTGAGCGTGTTCGCTCTGCTCGTTCCGAAACATACCGAACGAGAACCATCCAAAAACATCCGGAGAGGGTAGGATTTGCTCTGTTCGCCACGCCGCCCGCTATACCGCCTGCCGGGCTGATTATGCTTGACGAGCTGCCGGGTTACAGTAGTACTATCGTCGACATCTATCGACCAGATAAGAAGCGTGCACTCGCCTTCTGTTCTGACATCTTGTGGCCCGAGCTTTGGTGTTTATGACGTTGTGCGGCACCTATCATAGATCATGCGGGTGCCATTTGGGCGTTCTGCGTCGTATGACGGCCAGTCTCGATCGGCCCTTTGTGCATTCCAGATTGGTGAATTAGCTTCCCAATCGTAATGTTGAAAACTAAACAGCGGCTAGGGAGGGGCACACTCCGATCCCGGCTATCCCAACCGCGGATCAGTACCAAGACATCGCCTGCAAAGTCGTGTAGATGGTATCTGTAGATGTGACATTTGCTACAGCCAGAATAGAAGAACGAACCTGAGGTCAATGAGTTTGTTCAAAGCTGTGAATGAGACGAGACTAGCCTTGAGGTCGAAGCATTATGCTCGTGAGTTGCGAGCGAAAGGTAAGAAGGCTTCCTTACAGCAGGCGCACAATTCTCGATACGAACCTTCTCCGTATATGATCTCGAAAAGTTGCCGCTACAGATGTTGTTGCAAAGCACGAAAGCTTTCACATATTTTGACGTGGCTCGCCGCGACGAGTCATACCAGAAGTGTACTCACGTTGAATTTGTGAAAGAATGGAAAACGACCGATTTCGAGGCTGAGCTCCGGATAATTACCCGACCGTCGCAGCTAGCCATGGACCGCGTACGAACCTTCCCTAGCGTTGCGCTGACTTCGGAGCACCACATAGGAAGCAGGTGGGCATTCAGTTGTCCGATAGTCGCACTCCGGTATTGTTCCACAAGGTTTGTTTTCTCGCTTTATGCATAGTATGTGACAGATGTTGCTGTCACTGCGCGACGCCTATCGTACAATGTCGTAAGCGATGTAAGTTCGGGGTCAAGCAGATTTGTTGGAGCGGGAAGTTGCCACAGATGATACTGAACTCACCACTCCTTTAAAACGAGTGCGCTTAGGAGCCCGCGCGCGATACTCCCAGCCCACGAACATAACAATCACCAATCTACATGCCCAGACCGTCCCGCGTACCCCTCACGATCGAAGGTGAGGATCGTGAGCGAACCTTGACATCGTCGCCGATGATGGGATCCAAACCAGATGCTGGCACCTATGCCCTCGTTGTCGCCCTTGCCAGCGGCCGTACTCCGCCGTCGTTGGCGACTGTCTTGATGTCGTCAGTAATCGACCTCAATGAAGCCATGGCCAGCTGCTCAGGAAATTCGGTCAGTCATTCGGTGCAGGCCAGTATACCTATGTAGCTCGGCCTATGATTCCTCTCTCGTCAGGTGTGTTAACGTCGACGCATCATCTCCAATTCGAAGCTCAATGTCGCATCCTAACAGCAACCCAACTTCATCGGCGGCCACAGACATTTCCTCGTAGGGGTATCGACCTCATTGCCTTACCTAACCAACCGAGACGTTCAACTCACTCTCTGATATCGCCGATCGCAACAATCAAGCTCGCATACAGGAATGAGCACGAGAGTTGGCGTTGTCTAGGTTGAGGCCCTGGTGCGCGTTGACGTGGATTTTAGGATGTGTGCGCAATCGGTGTGTCCATCCAGCTCGTCATCATTCTGCGACTACCGTGAGTAAGATCTGGCTATCTCCTCACGCCAAGCAAAGGCCATGGTGGTGAGAGGGACTGCCCATACTGATCAGGTACGTGGGGGAAGAACTTCGGCTCTCACGCAATCGTACGAAAGGTGGTGACCCTCGTGCTGACTTCTCCAATGGATCCCCACCGGAATAGACCCAGAGACTTGGGAAGAAAACACCTCCTTACGGTATGCCGCCTTGTCTATCGAAGCGGGTTTTACGCGCCGACGGCAAAGTCTGCATACTCACTGGGCGTAAGCCCTCGAGTTTCTGCCGTCCGATCTTCCTACACGGCTGATCGCTCCGGAGGCGCTCCTCTCGCGCAATGCTATATCCTGACAAGCACATGTATCCCTCCGAACATCTCCATCATCATGACATCTACGAGCATGATTCAATGCCCGATACGATCTCCCCGGGACACTCGACTGCTCAAGCAACTGTACGGTGGTGATCATGCGCCGACATTCCTGGATCTGCTTCGTCCGCGCTGTCTCTGGCACATGCGTTGTACCTTCCCTGACATGATGGCTGAACGTCGGCTCTTGTCTAGTTCGCAACTTTGGAGTTTGTAAGGGGCAGCCGCTTCTGGCAGCACGAGGACGCCATCCGTTTCCGTGCAGAGAGGGACCAACTCCACGGCTGCGTATATGTCGTCTTCGGGATATAAAAGCCAAGTCGATTCGCGCCTCGCTACTCCGTGCTCATCTTCTTCCTTCGCCGCTGTCAACTTATTTCATTACAGCGCTGTCACCTTCTTTCCTTGCGCCACTCTCATCTTTCCCGCTTTCATCCTGTGTTGTTTCACCTCCCAACTCGTGATAGACTCCAAATACTCCTTGTCGTACACCTCCGCTGGTGTAACCCCACACTTGCCAGACATGACCGACATCATTACTCCCCGTTCGCTGTCGCTCGAGGATCAGCAACGATTCGACCGCTTTAGTTATGGTCCACGTCAGCCATCCCCTTTCAGCTGCATTCACCATGCCTTTGAGTACCACGCTACCGTACAACCCGACGCAATTGCAGTGGAGCATCTTGGCGACTCTATCACTTATGCCGAGTTGGATCGTCAGGCGAACATTCTCGCCAACCATCTCCGGTCCTCCGGGGTTCGCCCAGGAGTCCGCGTCTGCCTATTGGTCCAACGGGGTATCCTCATGGTCGTCGGCATAGTTGCAGTGCTGAAGGCTGGCGCCGCATACGTACCGATGGACGGTACCATCGTCACGCAGTCGACCCTGGAGCACGTCTTGAAGGACTCCGAGGCTAAGCTGGTGCTGACGTTGAAGAACTACGTGCACCGCGTGTCCGGTACTCCAACGTTCTGTTTGGAGAACATTGCGGAGTTGCCGCAGGTCGTTTCAAAGCCTCAGGATCTGAGCGCCTCGACGGATAGCATTTATATCATCTACACTTCGGGTCTGTCATATCTCTATTGGAGTCAATACGTGGTGCTTGGCTTACCTGCTATGTATAGGTACTACTGGCAAACCAAAGGGCGTCGAAGTCATGCACGGTAACGTCACCAATCGTGAGTGCCTCCCACGATAGCTGCGGGGCTGCATCTGATCTGTGTCAAGTGGTATGTCTCGCCCCGGGAAACATCGAGATGCGCCCCGGGCGCAGGGTATCGCAGCTTTTGAACGTGGCGTTTGACATGGCCGCATGGGTAAGCTTCTGCTCATGCTGCCGATGAACCACTTTAACGCCCGACCCCACATGCCAGGAGATACTCGGAAGCCTCAGCAATGGATGCACGCTTTGTGTTCGCGGCAAATCCTCAAAGGAATGGCGCGCGGTCATGAAGACTGTGGACATTGTCATTGGTCTGTCGCTCTTAATGCTAAACTGGTCTTCCTGCGCCTGACGTAGTGTGTTTTCTCAGCAACGCCAAGCATGTTGGGTGCGCGTCCTTAACGAGGCGCTTCTGCAGTCGGACGCTGAACTACATGCTTCTAGCTCCCCATGACCCCGCCGACTACCCCAATATCAAGGTCGTCGCGACAGCAGGAGAGCCATGCCCATTACGTATGTCACAAAGTCCGCACTGATCAACGCCGCTAACCTCCACGATACGCAGCTCTTGCAGAAAAATGGAGTAGAGCAGCTCACTATTACAACAGTTGTGGTCCCACGGAAGTACGATCCTCCCACGTCTGCTATCCCTCGATTATCATCACTGAAAGCCTGTGTGACAGGTTACGATCGTAAACACCGTCCGTTTGCACACGCCTGGAACGCCCTTGTCCATCGGTGCGCCCGTACCCAACACGAATGTCTACATCCTAGACGAGGACGCGAACCCTGTGCCAATCGGCGAGCCAGGTGTCATGTGGGCCGGAGGAGCATGCGTGAGTAAGGGCTATCTACACCTGCCGGAGAAAACGTCCGAGCGTTACAGACGTGATCCATTCACCAACAATGGGTGGGTCAATAACTCCACTTCGTTAAGACGTGCGCAGCAGACTCATAACAGCAATATGCTACAGGAGCTACATGTTCAACACCGGAGACCTGGGCCGGTGGCGCGATAATGGAGAACTCGAGCACCTGGGACGTGTGGATGACCAAGTCAAGGTCAAGGTACGTCAGTCTGCACTTCATTGGGAGGACTCTCCGCAGCTTCTTCGCCGCTATGCACAGGGCTTCCGTGTTGAGTTGGATGGAGTCTCCGCAGCGATGCAGGTACAAGAATTCTGCTCTATCCTCAGAGTAGCATTCTGACCTCCATTCCCGTAGACCTGCACATCAGTCAAACACGCCACCGCGCTACTCGTGCGCCATCTTTTTGTTTCATTGGTTTAGGAAGCTCTTGACGCTTGCACTGTCAGATCGAGAACGAGCTTTGGGGATTCGTGACCCCGGAAACTGTTAAAAGCGAAGCCGTCAGCGCCGCAGCTTCGCTCATCCAGCCTTACTACGCCGTTCCGACGCAATACATCGCCATGGACGACTTCCCTTACACCAGCAACGGGAAGATTGACAAGCGCGCTCTCCGGCAAATGGCACTTGACAAGATCACCCGGGCTCAGGCTGAGAAGGAGCAAGCCGCCCTTGCAGCGAAGGCAAACTTATACAGCCCCTCTCTACACTCCGGCAAGCTTCTGGCAGACGCCCTCTCCTCTTTGCCGCAGCCAGTCCCCGTATACCAAAAGGACGGCAAAGGCACTCGTGATGCAGTCCTCCAAGAAAAGACGGAATCCACTAGTTTCAGTTCCAGTTCCACGATTGCGGCTGACCCGGAGAAGAGTGAGATCTCTTCCGCCCACGAGGCTGGTAATGCCTGGGACGGTTACGAGAACGACGAGCTTCCCGACAAAACCCAGGGTCACTATGTACGCAACTTGCGCCACCAGATCTTCTCATTGTACCGCAGACTCTTCGGCATCGTCTTCATCACCAATCTGGCGGTGTTCATCGCGACGCTCGTGAAGGGTAGCGTGAATGCTCAGCATCTTGGCCTCGTCGTCGTCGCGAACCTGTTCTGCGTGATCCTCATGCGCCAGGACTACGTGATCAACGCGTTCTTCACGGTGGCGTGTTCGGTGCCTAACACGTGAGTCACACGCTTCCTGGATGTCGAAGACACGCTGTCTGACAGATTCGTCAAAGCTGGCCCTTAGCAATACGCCGAGTCGTCGGCAGAGTCTACCACATAGGAGGTTGTGAGTGTGTCTTTGCTTGCCTGCGAGTCGATCAGAAAGCTGAATCTAATTTTAAGTCCACTCTGGTTGCGCTATCAGCGGCCTTGTCTGGCTCATCCTCTTCACCGCGCAGGCTACGAAGGAGGTGCTCAATAGGGAGCAGGTGAGCACTCCTGTTCGCTTCGAGGCATGAGGAATACTGAAACGAGTGACAGACGTCCATCGCTACGCTTGCGATTACCTATTTCATCCTCGTCCTTTTGATCGGTATCGTGCTCTTCGCATACCCGAAAGTCCGCAGCACGCATCACGATGCTTTCGAGCGCTCTCATCGTTTCCTGGGGTGGACTGCCACGGCCTTGGTTTGGTGTCAGGTAAGTCTCACGACCGCAGAACCTTGGCAGTAATAGCTCATTCGTTTACGAACTTAGGTTATCCTTTTGACAAACGATTATCGCTCTCCCGAAGAAAACCTGGGTCACGCACTCGTCCATGCGCCGCCTTTCTGGCTTGTTACAGTTATGACGTGCTCGATCATTCTCCCCTGGCTGAGGTTGCGGAAGGTTCCTGTCCGTGCAGAAGTTTTGTCCAAGCACGCGGTCAGACTATACTTCGATTACGGTCTGTCAAAACTACTTTGTTCGTTACGCCTTATCTGACGCTTCTCGCCTATACAGTGACGCCTCGCCCTGGCCATTTCACCCGCATCTCCAAGAGTCCCCTCATGGAATGGCATGGCTTCGCTACCATTTCCGAGCCAGGGAAGACTGGTTACTCGCTTGTCGTATCACGTGCTGGAGACTGGACGAGCAAGATGATTGAGCAACCTCCTAAGGAGCTCTGGGTCCGTGGCGTTCCCTGCTATGGCGTGCTCAGAATCACCCCGCTCTTCCGCCGCGTCGTCTTCGTGGCTACGGGAAGCGGTATCGGTCCCTGTGCGCCTTGTATCCTAGAGCAGCGCGTGCCTATTCGGCTTCTCTGGACGTCCCCTAATGTCCGGCAGACGTTCGGCGATAAGTTCGTGGACCAAATACTCTCCGCGTCCCCTGGGGCTGTCGTTTATGGTATGTGTCCTTCCCTTTCCTCCGAATCGCGTAAGGAGCTCACATGTGCCGCTCTTGATAGACACGCGGACGCACGGCAAGCCGGATATGGTAAAGCTCACGTACCGCATGGTCAAGGAGTTCAATGCAGAAGCCGTGTGCATCATCTCGAATCAAAAGCTGACGCGAAAGGTTGTGTACGGTATGACCAGTAGAGGTATTCCTGCGTTTGGAGCTATCTGGGACTCATGATCACGACATATACCTATGGACCTTCTGCTGTCGCATCGCTAGATCCTGTATCTCACGAATAACTTATCATCGTACCGTAATGCATGACCGTCCTGGCAAGTGTCGCTGTGCCGGATTGAGACATAATCTGCAGGGCAGTAGGGGCAACGACTTCAGCCTGAGTGACGTGAACGGTAACGGAGATTTTGCATTGTGTCGTCACAGATCGCCATGCCAGCACTAGATCCTCTGCTGAGGCCATCAACCTGGCGACGTCCACGGGGGTAGTGATCCAATAATTGCTGTTGATACATAGTGTAGCACGAGAAACGACATGTATAGTAGTAGGATTAACACGCGCAAAGCATGTATAAAGTAATGATTGTAGTGCCTAGCTAGAATCGGAAGCCAGAATACAGAGGAGAGTAGCCAAAATGAGCGTGCATGCAAACTGACTGATGTGGAGCATATGAACGACCAGTGCTGATGCGCGCGAGACGCCAACACATCCTATATTCGTATAGGCACCCTCTCGACGGTAAAGGCGTCCTCTGGCCGCTTGATGACCTCTACATTGCAGCCGACGATGTTGACCCGCGCCTTGAAGTACGCGTGTAGTGCGGCAAGGCGCGCTTTCTCGCTCGCGTCGCTGTCAGTACGCTCGAGAAGATTGTCGTCGAACGAAGGCAGCGGTGTCGGAGCACGAGATGGAGGCAGCGTCCTGGGCTCCCTGAAGAGACCGCAGAGAGTGAAGGGGCAGAGGAGGATGCGCGACCACGTGCGAATGACGTCCTGGATGAAGGATGAGACGCAGTCTAGGATTACCATAGTATGTGACTAGATACGTACCGGTTGTGAGGCGAATATCAGGAAGAGCATCGTGCCGACTATCAGAAGCGAGTCAGTGCTGACAGCACGAAAGAAGTCTACAGTGTGCTTACTAGAAGCAGCAAACATGTCAGGGAGTACACTAGTGGCATTAGCAGCAGGAGAGAAAGTCACCAGAGTGACCCTGAAGACGACATTGTCAATGAGCAGGTCATGCACGGTATGCTGCCGAGGCCTTCTTACCCTGACGCAAGCATGGTGTAGAGTATAAACACCCCGACACGTATAGTCAAGTGAATATCAACGCCAGTGCTGAGCCCCGCACGGCGAAGAGCCGTCCAATTACGTGATAGCATCACCACCAGGTGTACTGGGAGTTTTGGGTCAGTTTTTGAACTGATGTATGAAGGAACCAAATACGCAGCATACGGTACCTTGGAGGGCAGCGGCGATAAGACAAACCACTGCTGTGAAGATAATCATAACGTCGTTGCTAGGAGATTCGGTGTAAACGCAGCTATTTGAGAGTGCGAATGGAACCTACTAAGAATCCTCGTGAAGGGAGCAATAGAAAAATCTCCGTGAGCGATTCACTTTCTCTGGATGCTGTAGACCAAGCTACGACACCACTTGCATGAGTCTACTGCGAACACGTTTGGAACCAGCGATAACGTCAACTCACACGCAGAGCGACGGCTGCAAAGCAGACGTGCGTGATGTAAGGGGCAATGAGCAGCTACTCTGTTGTATGAGGAGCAATCGGCTAGAGCTTGGAGGGTGGGACGTACGCAGATAGTAGTCAGATGGCTCATCGGCGCCCTTGGCCCCCTGTTCACCTTGGATTGTCGGAATGTAGACCATATGTAGTACACGAGTGCAAGTGCGGCAACGGAAGTCCTAGTCCGAAAAAAGCGTGAACAGGGGAATCGATCGGTCTACTTTAGACTCACATAGGCGGGACCGGGGAGATCAACGCCATCTGCGCGATGCATAGGCCCCTTTCTGGTTCAGGTCCAACTTGCTGGCCATTGTAAAACCTTCTCTCAACGTCAGCTCCGATACTTTCAGCCGAAGAAAGCGTTCGCTAGCGCACAGAAGCAAAGAGACGACGCCGGTGATGATACAGGTCGCACAGACGTTGACCACGGTCGGATGTCGTTTCCCAGTGCGGGAGCAGAGAAAAGTAAGAACTAGCAGGGGCAGGAGTATCTGGTCTCCGGCGATCTCAAAGAAAAGCCAGACAGTAAGGTCGGTGGAAGCAGCCGAACCCAAAACTTGGGAATCAACGCCTGTCAAGCATGAGTACCATCAGCTCTGGATGATATTTATAACGAAAACGGAGGCGCACGCTTGCTGTGGAAAGGAATGTAAACCATTCTGCGCCGCCGAAGTAGAATGGGAAAGGAGGGAATATCACTCTTAACGTCTGCAAAAGACCAGACCAGCCAGCTGTCAGAAAGCAAGGGAGCCTCGCAGTCTGCCTGCAGTCTGGTGGGAGGAGTAACCTCAAGTCAAGGAAGGCGAAGCCTGGGAGAGTCGGCCCGGCACGCGCAGATACAAGGTTAATGAAGGTGAAGGTGCTTGAACGAGCCGGGACAATAGTGAAGGAGGATGGGAGGGAAAGCGAAAGGCGAATAGAGAAAGGAGGCTGGGGGCGATGTCCCCTTTCATAGTGACCGCATCTGCGGTGGGAGAGCACCGGGCGGATGTCGTCGCGACATGTTTGGAACGGGCGCGTGTCGAAGTCGATGGCATGCGACGTCAATGACGGATGGAAAACGACGGGCGCAAGTAGGTCAAGACGTCCCAGCGACAGCGCAATCGCAGCATCTCGCCAAATAAGAAACAGTTTTTGCTGGACACGCAGGAGCCACGGGCAAAACACCGATGTCGCGGCATGGTGGACGACGGTGAGTAGCGGATCCGGAGGTGCGCCAGAACTCTCGAGCGGTCTCTAGATTGAGATAGTGCATCCACATGATCTTTGGTGGCAGAGACTCTGTCACGCTTCTCACTAGAGTGCCCCGTCTCATCTGGAGGCCTTGAACCTGTGAAGCGGGTTGCAAGAATTGCTACTCGGTCTGGAGGCAAACATACTTATACGGACCTGCAATGAAGTCTGTGAGTACCCGGCAGGACCGAGCCGCGTACACACACTGAGTTGAGCCGGGCATGGCGGTGGTTCGTGTGTGTCGTTGCGCATACACAGTACTGTATGTGCTGCTTCGCTTGCCACGGCCGAGTGCATTGATTAGAGGGGCGGCCGACGCGCGGAGGGAGTGCCTGGGCATATGCCGTTAAGCCAACACCGATCCATGTAGCGAGTTTCTCTCGAACAGTGATAGTGCCGACAGTACAGCCAGACAAAGACGGTTTCCAGGCAATGTGGAAGGGAAACGGAGTTGCAGTGTGTGGACAGGAAACGAGGCGCGGAGGAGGCGCATGCAAGGACACGAGGTGGCTTTCGACCACCACCTCGGTCAGGTCTCCCCAGGCACTCACACTCTGTAATTCGGACTCTGCATTCTCCTTGCTCTCTGTGGCCGGCGGTTGTTACGCTTTGGTGGCCTTCACTGTTTACGAAGTTACACGCAACGATCCTCACAGTAGTTCGGGGCCAACTCCTAATGATCTTCTGGCTTGTGCAAGTATTGCGCAAGCAACACCCAAAGTTCCGGAACACTCATTGGTAGGTTCTACCTTCTGTCGAGACGGCTCTCGGTCGCTGAGTTCAACGGCGCCTTGTTTGTTTTGGGTCTCATTTGCATCGTGTTTCACGACGCACTCGTTCCGGGTCCGCTCCGAAGATAAGAGCGTCATAACATCCTCACAAAAGAGGCCTCAGTCATTCATCCTCCTCCTTTCCGCCGACCGGGTATCCTATGGCTGCCTACTACATCTTGCAACGGCCGTCGCCTGTGTCGAGGGCATCTTCCCTCGCCACAGAAGGAAATGGTACTACCGACGCCCAAGAAGACGCCACACCTCTCAACACCATATCCGCCGACCATTCCATATACATCTTTCCCAACCCGCCCTCCGCCCCTCCCAGCCCCCTTAGCCCTGGGTCATCACTCTTCTCTGTACCTACCGACTTCGAGCCGTCGGAGCCATCCTCTCGTGACGCAAGATCCCGCACGTTATCCAATCTTACAGATGTTGCAGCATCTGCCCCAGACGGTGGCGTGGAAGTCGCACGACAAGTCTCTTCAGATGGAGAGAATGAGATAGAGATTGATGTCGAGCTCTGGGAGCTGAGCACTGACCCGGATCACGCTGCCGAAACTTCGGACACGGACGAGTCCTGGGTGCTCGAGGAACAGGTGCAGCGAATCAACGCCGAGGCGATCGACGTCTCCTTCGTGAGTCCATCGCATACGCCTTTCCGCGCCCGCAAGCTCTCCGCTCCCCAATCTCCCAATACGGCAGCGAAACACTACTGGGTCCTCCGTCCACAGCGCCGGCCTCGTTCGCACTCTCGCGTTCGGACGGTGAGCAGCATCTCGTCGTTTGCGCCGCCGTCAGCACGTCGGTCCGCTCCCCATCCGCGCATCCACATCCCTCTGTTGTCCTTCTTCGCCTCCCTACTGTCCGTCGACCTGGACGACCCCGCTCTGCGTCTCCTCACCCACGCCGATCCCGGAGACGCAGAGACGGTCCTCTTCCCTGGGCATACCGCTGCCCAGCTTCTGTCTCGGGGCAGGCTGCATGAGCGGGACCCGAACAGGGATAGGGAAGCAGATGCAGACACGGATGTGAGCGGCTTGGACACGGAGGAGGAGCCGCATGGCTTGCCGAAGCTCCTGCTCGCCTCGCTGTCGGACCATTCGACCGTTGCTCTCCGCTCGCTCCGCGCAGGGCTCGCGGTCTGTGCATCGCATACTCCTGACTCGTCGCTCCCGATTCCGGGAGCCCAGGGTCTACTTGGATTGTGGCGCGTCGTTGAGGAGGTATGCGCGAGAAGCAGTCAGGCATGGAAGGAGGTGTGGGGAGGGTCGTCAGAGCCGGATGCGGGTCCGTCGTAGCTTCGCATGTCTCGCACTTCGTGGCAATGGACTCGAAGTAACTGGTCTCTACGGTACGTCTGCTAGTCATGGAGTTGTGCCGCGTGTATGATATCTCTGTACTACTAGTTCACTGCACTTGAGTGGATGATATAGGAAAGTCATCGCAGAGGATACCGTCCTCCTGCTCATGGGTCAAAGTACTGCGGCAGAGCCCTTTCGCGGTGTAAATGGAGGCTTGTCAGTTCGTGCTCAGGCTGGAATCCCAGGATATGGCGAACGCTTGTGCTATGACACGCGACAGCAGTGAGCCACGGTGTGCTGATGCGTAGTTGATCAGTACGAGTCGAATCGTAGGAGCATCCAAGTTCATTATGACCTGACGCGATGTTATGTCGGGAAGGTTTGGTCTTCTTATTTGAATAACAAGTATGGTATACTGATCTAGTTCTCAGAATGAAGTTTCGACGCCCCAGACACTGGCACAGAAGTCCGACTCCTGGAGAGACACCTACTTCACGGCCCCAGCTATCTTAATCTACACTGTGTTGATCCGGCGTTTGGAGAGGAGAGGTTAATGCGTGGACACACAGATAACGTCAGCGACCTTTGGCCACACGAAGGGCCCTTTTGCATATTCCGCTGGTCAGTGTGTCGGACGTGGCAGAGACACAAGCGCCGGCCCCGCGGTTCGCGGTCACAGGGATATCAGTAACATTTGGGCCAAATAATTCGCGTTTTACTATACAGCGCCTTGCATAAGTCCGTGAACGCGCTGATTTTTTTCTCTCCGGCGTCTACGCTAGGCGACCCTAAGTAAGCCACATTACGGTCACGAAGACTTCTACTACGCCATAACGGCACGTCACAATTGAAGAGCTACTGACTCGATATACAAGAAGTTCATTATGTGTATAATGGATAAGAAATGTTTGTATCTCATTTTGTCCTACATATGAACGCGCATAAAGTGGTCTAATGCTCATGTTCTAATCTCCACACAATTCACCTGCTTACTTCATGTCTGGAGCAAAGGCGCAATCGCGAGGGACGTGTACTTAGTGGCAGCGCCTCCTGCATCTCCAGATCTCGCTAGACATTGTGTTGCCATGTCCCATGTTGAGCGTAAGAGAACGAGGCTAATGGTCTGCAAATCGCACTGCAAACGTTTTGACCGTTGAGGGTAATCAATTGCGGTCCTTACTTTGTGGAGCATCACCTTCTATTTGTTCAGAGAACATCAGTTGTCACGGACGTTGGACAGACGCCCCTTTTTGCCGCCCATTCCCTTCCCTTTGACGCCCACCTTCCATTTCCGGACCGTTTCCTTTCCTAGCTCATCCCAGTTTGGACACTGTAGATACGTTCCCACAGCCGCATGCTACGTTCCCGTGATCGCCATGCCCTTGCCTTTTCTTTCTCGCCCTTTGTTCCCCCTTTGTCATCTTCACTGCCTCGCTCTCGTGCCTTGTCCTTGGTTGCTAAGCAGCCCCTCCTAGTATATAACGGACCCCCCCTAGGCGCTCCCTAGTCCCCATCTCGACCTCTTGGTCATTGGGACTAGGTGAGTGACCATAGTGTTGTATCTCTCTTCGATTGCTAATGTATAACTTGGTCATTGGGACTAGTCTGTCGCTATCTGCGTGAAGACTAGCTTCGTAGGTCTTGTGCCTTCGTGCCGGCTCCGCTCT